CAGGACAAGCGTCAACAGTTCATTCCATTCTAATAATAATATACAGGAGAAGATTTGCAGTCTACCAATGCCTGGAGCCTTGGGTGAGTGGTAAGCCGGTACTAGCTAGTAAGCCAGGAAGCCACGCACCAAATCGGTCTGATAAGCACACCTTGAGAAGAAGGTGATGTTTTGGGTTGGGCGCACCTCTTGGGCCTGTTCTCTTTTATGTTTACTGTAGCCGTACGGTACGACTGCACCATACTCTAGCTAGTACTCCCTCTAAGCCCTCACAGAGCTCCAGGTGTTGCCCCCCACGTCAGCACGTCAGCCCCAAGAGTTGCCAAAAAGTACGCGGGGGGTTTACCATACTCTACAGCTCTACAGGCTACAGGCTGCCCATGCTTTGAGGTGAGAACGACGCCGAAGCATACCGAGAGCAGCAAGTCACCTACCAGGTAAACACCTAAACCCCGGAAATCCTTTGTTTGCCCTTCGTAGTGCCATATTGGACTTACAGTATTGGGGCTGTCACGGTCATGGCCAGAATGTGTTAGAACCCGAAGGCCTGGCTACGTACCAGTACCAGCAGGCCAAAATACCGCTACATGTACCAGAACTGGGGCACTTCTTAAGGAGCTCCATTTCAAGCAGCAGGTTCCGTCATCGTAGTCGGCCCAATAGCTACCGGTAGAAACATAGCCCCACCTCAGAAAAATTGTTTCCTGGAACCAATCGAACATGGTCGACGAAAAGTTGGATCAAGATCTTCTCTTATGCATTGCCCGGGCCCGAGCCAACGGTTCCACCGGCGCTGAACTCGGCGTCGTTGATGAACGAGCAGCTACGGAGATAGAACAGTTGGCGACGCCTGCGAGTCAGAGGGATGGTAACGCTGATGATCGTGAAGAGGCTGGAGAGTTCAATGTCCTAAAAGTCGTCGAGCTGCGGCTAAGGCAACAAGAACAAACCGCTTCCGTCAACAACAGAGAGCATCCTAAAGCTGCAGTTGCTCCTCCAGATTCGTTGCCTGTGACCGCGTCTAGTCCAAAGGGCAACTTGTTGCACTCTCTGGAGCAGAACAATAGCAACACCGTTAATCAGGCTCAAGAGGCTGTGACACCTACAAACCCTCCAACTCGTCAACTTGATATTTCGAAAAGGTACATGCTGCATCCAGGCGCCTATGCACAGGATGGGCCTGGTGTTGATAGCAATGCTGACGTCAATGAAGAACACACCACAGCAGAAGCCACAATGAATGCCCCAGACACCAATAATGGATTGGCAGTGGCAAACATTGTTGAGGATGGGGATCTTCCTACTGCTTTGCCACACAATGCAGGATCTGATGACAGTGCGGCGGAAAACAGAAAAAAAGAACATACAAATCAGATCAAATCCAACGTTCTTTTTGGAGTTATCTTACTCGTGATATGTATCCTCATACTGGTTTCTGTTCTGGTGTCCATCAAAAGGAAAGAGCTTGACGTGGCTCCAACAGCAGCCCCGACAGGAAACCCCAGCAGCAGTCCAACCCATGCGCCTACTTCCTTAGTGGACTCTGTAGTCTCACTCTTCCCAGCAGAGACTATCATCAAGGTATTTGACGATCCTAGTTCACCCCAGTCCAAGGCGTTTGATTGGCTCCTAGAAGATACCCTCAATCTTCCTGACCTCACTGTTGAGAGAATCAAACAGAAATTCATCCTTGCTACCCTTTTCTTTGCTACTGAAGGAACTAACTGGGCCGCCAATGATGACTGGCTTAGCTATGACATCCACGAATGCAGCTGGTTCAACAAGCCTGACTTTGCGCAGTACTCGACCATGGGTAGCTTGTATCCTGGATACCTAAAGGAGTTCTTCGTTTCATCGGAACCGACTCCTTCCATTTGTGACAACAATGGGCTCTATCGCCATTTATGGTTGGATGCCAACAACTTGGGAGGCACTTTGCCTGAGGAGCTCTTCCTTCTGACAACTCTCAGAACACTTTCCCTCGGATACAATCAAGTTGAGGGATCCATCCCAAGCCAGGTTGGACAGCTTGTTGAGTTAGAAGGGCTGTTCCTAAACAGTATGAAGAGTGTTGGAACCACCATCCCTACAGAAATTGGGCTCCTCACCAAGCTGAAAGCCATTGGTCTCCATGATAACCATCATTCTGGATCCATTCCTTCTGAACTCTGGGAGCTATCCGCTCTTGACACATTACTTGCCCTACGCAACCCCATGTTGAAAGGGTCCATTCCAACTGAGATTGGCGGCATGACAAAGATGAGATTTATGGATTTGAATGACTGTGATTTGACTGGTAGGTTACTGCAGGAGCTTATTCTTAGTGTGCCTCCACAGACCAGTACCTCACCCCCGTCACCACCACAATATAGGCTCAATCCCTTCAGAAATTGGCAGAGTCAGCTTGCTTGAATGGGTTGTTGGATATGGCAACCGACTAACTGGAACCCTACCAAGTGAGTTGCTGGAACTCTCAAACCTAATGTTGTTTTCATTCTGGGATAATTCTATTAGAGGGACAATCCCTTCCAGGCTAGGACACCTGCAGAATCTGTTTCTGCTTTCCCTGCGTGATAATGAACTGTCGGGCCCCATCCCAAATTCACTGGGTCTGCTCACAGGTCTCTCAGTCACCCTGAACTTGAGAGGCAACCTTCTTACTGGATCCCTCCCTTCAGAACTTGGCTGTCTCTCCTCGCTGACTGAGTTGGAGTGTTCCAACAACCAGCTCACTGGAAGCATCCCAAGTGAGTTCGGGCGACTTCTATCAGCAGGCAGACTCACTTTGGCAAACAATTCTCTTTCTGGCACTTTACCTCCTGAGCTTTCTGCCCTCCAGGAAGTTCTCCACACTTTGTATTTGGAGGGCAATCCTGAGTTGTCTGGTACCATTCCAGCTAGTGTCTGCAGTATGAATGGTACATGCATTGGGTCTGTTCTTGACAATTGTGTTGGCCCCTATGGGTTGTCTTTTGACTGCTCTGAGTTTTTCTGTGGATGTGGGTGCCCTTGTTTGGCTGGTTAGGGCACTTCTCAGAATTTCAGCAATACATGTTTGTAGTTCACAGGAATAATATTAGTAAGTTTAGTTTTTTATGCACCGTAAGTACCGTACCGGTATGGCTGTAAGAAACTACATGCCAATACATCTGCTATCTTGTACATCATTGCCCTCCCATGCGGTATTTTAGGGCACTGCTCGAGATCTTCAATCTGTGGTGGCTACACAATGCCTGTATCTAGCTAACTCCATGTATGCAGCAACTGTGAATGCAAGCTGTAAGGAACGTGGCCTAGGAGAAACGCTGCTTAAAACCTGGGCAGAGTGTATCTATTTTATCTTAGCTGGCTTACGGATAATGGCTCCAAGTCATTTGGGAAGATGACTTTCGAAATGCCAATAAGTCGTTTCGTCAAAAGGAAAGCATAATTGTTAAGTCCGACTATCGAGGGATGCCGTACCAGTTATCTATCATACTCGTCACAACGCGTGTTTGTGCGGGCACCGCGATGACCGCGATGATCACAAATCCAAGAGCTAGATCTAGACTATTTTATGCGGAATTCTCTTCAATTTCCAGAGCATTCACCCATTTGTTACAGAGAAAGGACTGCGACAACAGCCCAACTCATTAGAATCTGCCAAGTGCATCCATGGCCGGCAGTAAACCCAATGAACAGGATCTCCTCCTGCGCATCGCCAGTGAACGTGCCAGTGGTTTGTCAGGAGCTGAAGGAGGGATCCAGCATGTCCACAACACATCAGCTTCCTGCCAAACGACCATATCTTCTGCTCCTGTTAACAAAGCACTTGATCTCGAGGCTTGTGGCAGTGATGACCATGACGACGAAATTCTCAAGGTGGTCCAGATGAGGCTACAACAGCATCGGGCAGAAAATCGGCAAAAGAGCCTTGGTGCAGTGGACTCGACGGTCCACGAGAGTGTCGTCGGCGCCTTCACCTCTTCTGTCACGAGCAATCAAGAGAGCACCCACGAAACTGTAGCCCTCCAAATCCGCCAACGCGCCAGGAAGATATTTCACGGAGACCAACGCGCCCTGGCGCTGTTGCTTACCGTGGCCCAGGCCTTTTGGCAGTCGATGGCAATCGCATTCCAGAGCAAGGATCCACGACCAGGGATCCCTTGCCTGGATCCGACAATCCTGCCGGGTTGGCAGTAGCAAACATGGTGGAGCACACGGATATTCCTACGGCCTTGCCACATACTGCCGTCAATGATACCGACACCAGCAGGATGCGACGGGAGCAAACGAAGCAGTTCAAGACCACGATACTACTAGGTGTCCTTTTTGTCATTGTCTGTATCGTCGTAGTGGTCGCCATTCTGGTCCCAAGTGACGACCACCAGTCTACGGATGCAAATCCAACAATCCCATTAAAGAGCAGCAGCAACAGCACCCAGGCTCCCACCCAGGCTCCCACATCCTTGGAGGATTCCATCTTCTCTCTACTACCAAACGAGACAGTTGCTAGAATCTTGAAAGACCGAGATTCTCCTCAGTCGATGGCATTTGACTGGCTCATGGAGGATGGTGAACTACCCTCCTACTCCAATGAACAGATTATGCAGAAGTTTGCCCTTGTTGCTCTGTTTCATGCCACTGCTGGTGAACGTTGGTATGATAACACCAACTGGCTCAAGCATAATGTCAGTGAATGTGAGTGGTACAGCAATCCTGACTTTGCGCAAATGGGGAACTGGAGAAGGCTTCTTGGTGAAGGCTTCCTGCGAGACTTCTTTCCTCCAACAGAACCAGCTCCTACAATGTGTAATGAGGATGGAATCTATGAGCATCTTTGGCTGGACCACAACAATCTTGGAGGAACTTTACCAGAGGAGTTTTACTTGATGACTTCGCTGAAGACATTTTCTGCTGGAGGGAATCACTTGGAAGGATCCATCTCTACTCGCGTTGGACAGCTCTCCAAATTGGAGGGATTTGGTGTTACTGATGTAACGAATGTGGGTGTAATCCCATCCGAGCTTGGGCTCTTGTCAAGATTGAGGCTGCTCTCACTGAATGAGAATGACCATACTGGCAGCATTCCGAGTGAGCTCTGGTTGCTCACTAACCTGGACTCCATGTTAGTGTTTAATTCCCCCAGATTGAAGTTCTCTATTCCCACAGAGATTGGCAACTTCAAAAGGTTGAGGTGGCTTGCTGCAAGCAACTTTGGGATATCTGGTACGTAACCGTCTGGTTGCTGTGAACAGAGGAGTAGCCTCCATACTCACCCTGTTGGCCTTCCAGGAACCATTCCTTCTGAGATTGGCACAGCAACCTCCCTGGAACTTCTTTCTTGTGGGGAAAACAAACTGACAGGTACCCTACCTAGTGAAATTGCACAGTTGACAAAGCTGCATGTTCTGGCACTTTGGGAGAACAATCTTCGCGGAACAATCCCCACAGGATTGGAGAGAATGACTGATATGTTTGTGCTGGACATGAGTGGCAACCAACTGACTGGCACCGTCCACACAGAGTTGGGACTTCTTACAGGCCTCTCTGTCAATTTCAACTTTGAGGGCAATCATCTTACTGGGACGATACCTTCTGAGCTGGGACTTTTGTCCTTGGCAATTGAATTGGAGCTTTCCAACAATCTACTCTTAGGGAAGATTCCTAGTGAATTTGGTCAGCTTTCATCCATGGGCAGACTTGCATTTGCAAACAACTCCCTCCTGTCAGGCACAGTGCCCCATGAACTGTCTGCACTCCAGGAAGTTCTTCATACTATCTACTTAGAGGGCAATCCAGAGTTGTCTGGCACAATCCCTCAGGGTGTCTGTGACATGAATGGCACCTGTGTTGGCACTGCCTATGATCCCTGTGAGGGTCCATATGGTTTATACTTTGAATGCACCGGGTTTCTTTGTGGCTGTGGATGCCCCTGCTTGGATGGCTAGCTAGAGTCTTTCGGTAGTATCAGCTTGGGCGAAACTACCACGTGGGCATTGACCCTCCTGATATTATGCTCTTCACTTTTAGAGTTGTCTACGACAGTCGTAGTACCCTTTCCCACTTGAAGCTCAATCAATAGAAAAGGATGAGTTTGCCCAAGTAGTTCTTGACTAGCTAGCCCATGCTCCAATGTTTGGTGAGTTTTGTGATTTTCCTTTTTCTTTTGAGTGTTCCGGTTCCGTCGCCAAGGTCGGAAGGGCGCCGTCGTAGATTCGATTCGATTGAATTCAAGCTCATAAGTGAGGTTTGGCTATGTGTTTAAGGGACCATTGATTGCGGGAACATAATGTTAAGTACATGTGACGTTGAATTTATCTTTGCAAGAAAAATCTGCCCAAATTCTTCTCCTTTGATCCTCCAATTGACTTTTACAGTTTTCGGTACGGTCAGGGCTTCGAGAGTTTTACCTGTTGCCGTTGGTTTTTAAGGCACAAAACAGAAGCAATACACAACACAGTACTAGCTAGTAAAAAGACTCCCGTGGATCTCTTTTGACAGACTCTTGGACGATTTGAACTGGACTCTTCCCAGCCCCGACCTACGAATACATACATGTTACCGGTATACAACTGGCTGTCACTCTAAGCGCTGCTACCTATTGAGCCAAAGCCGACATGCACAGCCTTGTCATCTTCCAACTTCTGTCGTCAGCTCTACTGTTAGCCCCGAAATGGGTGGCGGCAGTCAGAGTTGATCATCAGGACTTTCCTCCCGAAATCCATCTACGGGGTGGTGTGGTGCTATCCCGCAAATTTGCCGAAGTTAAAGAAGTGCGGGACAGCTACGGAACCACCAAGGAGACCTATCACGGGTTTCAGCTGGATTTGTTGGAGAGTCTGAAAGCGTTTGCTGTGCAAGATGGCGTCAATCTGACAGTAGGATTGAGTCGAGTTCCCAGCGAATATGATGGAGCCTTGAATTTGATTGCCAACGATTGCAACAGTTCCGTGATTGCCGATTTGAGAGAAGGGGGTGACAAATACTACCAAGATCACGATTGCACATCTCTGGACCTGCTGATAGGGGATTACTGGGTCACACCTGAGCGCTTTGAACGAATCGACTACACTCCGAATTGGCTGCGTACGGCTGTAACCACCATGAAGTATATTGACGGTCCCTTCAGCGGGATCACCACAATGACCCAAGCAACACGAAAACGGGCACCGGTTTGTGTCCCCGCCAAAACGTACACGATGAGAGTCGCATACGAAAAGTTTCCTGACGCAGAGTACGTGGAATGCAGCTGGGACAATCTGTTTGAAGAATGTGAACGATTCCTCCTAGAGGGCCGGTGTGCCCTATTTGTCAATGATCTATTGGTACTCAAGACGAGACAGTTTCATGAACCACAGAAGTTTGAGGTGACGGGAGAAGAGTTCAACTCTCAACAAACAGGTACGACCTGATCGCCTGTGGCAAAGGTTTCGTTTGCTTGTACTATATAGTTGCATGAACTGGAAATGCACCAACTGGTACTGTTCTTTTCTGTCTCCAGCGTGGCCGCTCCGGCACGATCTACCTGAGGTGGTTTCCTATCTCCTCAGGCGGTGGATTTATCAAGCTCAGACGAATGGGACTCTCGATGCACTGTACTATGAGTACTTTGAGCGACAGATATGCCCCATTGGGACGGCTGGGGAAGATTGCGATCTGCCCTGTGATCCAGAACACGGGGTTGATGTGAAGGGCGTCTGTGTCTGTGAAAGTATCAAGTGGACGGGAGGTACGACCATGACATCGTTTTCTTGTGACGGGTCGTGAGGAATGCCTAACTAACACTAGAAGATCGTCCCTGTCCGCCTCGCAGACGATTGTAGTTTTGAGGTGCCCGAAAACCACAACATGATCCCAGATGCTTTGAGGAGCGTCGCTTACGCTATGTTTGGCATAAACGTGGCTGTCATATTACTATGCGCAGTTTGGCTTTATTGGCAGAAAGACAGTGCTCAAGTCTCATCAAGTCAACCGTCGTTTCTTCTGTTGGTGCTCCTTGGCTGTATCATCTCATCTTCTACAATCATAGCTCTGGCCCAAGAAGACGACCCAAGCACCACAGAGGCAGAAGACGTCCCATGCATGGCCATACCCTGGTAAGTGTAGGAAATTGCGTGTCACACCCAACGCCAATGCATCATGATGGCAGCATTCCGCTGACATACGGTACCGTACCACTCTTTCACATCTCGAAGGTTGTATTCCGTTGGCTTCTCCATTACGTTCGGTACTCTGTTTGCAAAAATTCGCCGAGTGTACCTCATCTTTCTAAACGCGGGAGCGGTGGTAAGAACGGGCCAATCAACATATACCCAGCCGAGACGGAATTCAACAGTATCATGGCAGGAAACTGTCATGATCATCGCTGCTGTACTTTTAGTGGATGTGACAATTCTCGTCATTTGGACAGTGGTGGACCCGCTGCAGTGGCAAAGATCCATCACTCAAGCAGACCAGTTTGGCGTGGTTTTGGAGAGCGAAGGGTACTGCCATTGTGAATCCCTGGTCGCGTTTGCCAGGTAAGGAAATTGCGTGTTACGCCATCACAACCCCGTCATTATGGAAGCATACCGCTCACATGTATCGCTTTTCCCTGCATCTCCCAGTTTGATTGGTGTGTTTCATCTTAGCCTCATGGGCACAGCATGCTACATGTCGTATTGTGCAAGGAACATCCCCACCATGTTTCAGGAAGGGAAGACCGTCAGCATCGCCATGGTCAGCAATCTGCAAATATTCATTGTAGGAGGTACGTCTCCTTTCGGTTTTATCTGCACTGCTTCACCTTCCCGTTGGGCCTGAGAAGCCTTGTTTGCTTTCTCTGCCTTCAATTGTAGTTCCGGTGCTAATCATCGTGGGATACGACCCACAAAGCAGTTTCTTTGTGCGAAGCGTCATAATTTGGATGTAAGAGTTTGCTATTGGGCATTGGGAAGGAAGATGAGCTTGAAGTCCACTGAACCCTTTGTTTCTTTTGTTTTTCCCGTCAGGAATGATCTTGCAGTGGTGGTGTTAATCTTTGGGAACTTGGTGTTCGCCACACATGTGCAAAAACAAGATGAAACCCATATCAAGGAAGGCGTAGGTAGGGCTGTTTCTTTGTATTCGAGGGCGGGCAAGCAAGCGACTTCAAGCGCTGGTTCGCCGCCAAGTAATGGCTCCGCACAACACAAGTCAAGTGTCATGAAGAGTGCTGAGGGTGATCTAGAGGCCTATCTCCAGCAACACAAAGAGCAAATGCAGATGCCCCAACCCAGAGGAGACTTGGTGTCATCCTTGACAATGACGTCCTCTGCATCTGCTGAGGTTGAAACACCTCAGGACGGGTATGCATCGTCAGTGACCATGGGGTCGTCCAAGGGACGGAAGGGTGTTCCATTCGGTTTGGCAAGTTGCGTTGAAGTCGACGAAGAGGCTGAAGAAGAAGAAGAAACCTGGGTAGAAGACTTGTCGCCGCAGAGGAGGCATAGCTTCGATTCAGCAGCCAGGTTCAGTACAGCCTCCGGTGCCACTCCGCCCAGGCTTCCAGTGCGTTCTGGACTCCCCTTAAGAAGAAGCAACAGCGATGATTCCCTGGCAAGGTTCAGCACTACGTCGATGGGGAGAGAGCATCCTGTGGAGCCGCTTCCCATGAGATGGCTCAACAGGGAGTCCTTTGGTGTACTGCCGGTACCTCCGGTCTTGCCGACAGAGCAAGGAATTCCCGCCGCGCGACGGTTAAGCTATGAATCAATGTCAAGATTCAGCACAGACTCGGCGCACACACCCCCAAAAGCTCCTCTACGGGACTTCTCGATATCATCTGTTGGAATCGATGATGGTGACGAGAGCTTCTGCGCGCAATTGGCATCGGAACAACAAAAGGCCGATACAGTCCTTCGACAACCCATGACGCCGAATCCCATCAGGCAATCACTTCGCAGTGAGGAATCACCAAGGATTCCGGCAAGAATGCTGTCAGATGTCGAATCAACCGAAGACAATCTTAATCACGAGCCGCCACTACCAGTCAGTGCCTCCCGTCGTACCAGTATCAATAGTGCTCCTTGTATGCCTCTACGCGTCCATTCCGATGCTGAATCAACCGCTGGAAAGGTTGATGAAGTTTTTGCTATTGTTCATCACAACGCGTCGGAGACCTACCAGTACCCCGGAGAGAGGGCGAATGGTACGCGAGCAAGTATGGGTAGCACCGCTGGCAATCATTCTGGAGACGAGGGTGAAGGCAACAACACCTTGAACATCTTTGGGTCGCCCAGGATGCCGACTCGGGTAATGTCGGTTGCAGAGTCCACTGCCAGTGGTAGCAGCGATGAAAAGGAAGGAGGGGCTGGACAGCTGGCAGCACTGAAGGCACCAAACTTGCCTCGAAGATTGCCGTCCGTTGGAAGAGATAATGACAGTGTTGACCGACAGCAAAAGCCAAACGCAAGAGCATGGAAGACCACGAATTGCTCGCCATCACTGCCAAGACTGCCTCCTCGGCAAGAGCTCGATGCATCATTGTCGCAAGCGGATCGAAGCAAGGGCTCAGCTTCTACAACAAAAGAAGGGACATCTCGAACTCAATTGGACGCAAGTGACTACTCGGACGAACAGCTATAGATACTCGCGCTGTTTTAGGATTCTCCTACGACGTACCGATAATACCGACTACCGGTGAGGCACGTCAACAACTGTTAGAGTAAAATAGCTAGCTAGTTGAACAACATAGCTCCCAGCTAGTGTTTGTAGTTCATGACGGTGTACCGTACCGTGCCATGAAGGTGACATCACGTATCGGCTTTCACTCCCACGACTACGGGATACCGGTAGCCTCCTGTTGGCGGACACGCGACGAGAACTCCGAGGGCCTGGACAGTTCGCAGTTGACCCGAACGCATCGACTGACTCTCGTCAATTGTCATTGGTGGCCATGGACAACTATACTGTATCAATCCCACCCCCGGTTTTCATAGTTTCATGAAACACAAACTAGAGAGAGAGAGTAAGAAACCTGCAATCGACAACCATGAAGAATTACTTTGTCATGCAATGCCTGTGGAGAACGGATGAACGAAGCACTCCGTGGCAGTACCGGTACATGCAATCTATGAGCGCGGTGGAGCGTTGTACAGATGTGCACACAAATAACCATGCTTTCAGCAACTTGACCGCCGGCTCTCCTGCACTTGGAGCAGAACTAAACACGACAGAGAAAAGCAAGACGATGCAGTCCACGTGGTCCCTTGCTGAACTTGGCAAGCAGTACGGATCCCTGGTTTGGAATACCTACTGGGGGATCTACTTTGGAGCTCTGGGAGGCCTCTTTGCTGGCGTTCAGACGGGTGTCCTCAATCCCCTTAAGCTCGTGGGTGGTAACAATCATCAAACCGTGTCGGAATATGCGGTTGCATTCTTGAAAAGGCATGTCAGAGTGTCCCGTTACGCCCCATATGTTCAAAGTCACCCGGCTGCGGCAAACTTCCTGATAAGTTTCTTGATAGCAGAAGCTTCCGAGCCACTAAGAATAGGAGCAACGGTGATCGCCGTCCCTGTCATCGCTAGGCAAAGATCCCCGAAAACAAAGCAGGACGAGGATTGAAAGGATATGCCAACCAAACACCATAACCAAAAACACAACTATACAAAGCTATCTTTGTGCGCCCGAATGTTGTTGTTGCCATCCATCGCTGCCCTTTAGAAGCTAAATTATCACTAAGCAACCGAGAGAGTTTGAGTTCTCCGATACCGGTCCCATGGTTTTCCTAGATTGGCAGCTATGGATACCGTTACAGCCAGATTTTTCGTTCGTAGCAACGCTTGGCAGCGGGGGCAGATTTGCTGTCACTAATTCAGCTGTCTCCAATCGAAATGAGCACATGGGACGCTTTGCCAAAATGATAGGACAGGACGACCTGGAACCGGAAACGGTGCCAGGTCCACCGCTGGCGCTACAGCTCAGTACATCATAATCCAACTTCTCAACCCCAGCGAAGCAAATAGAGCCTGCTGGCTATGAGACCAATGGACAAATCATCTAGAAGATTTCATCACAACAGTGGAATCATTTAGGATCCATTGCTCTTTGCACATTGGACCAAGCCTCAGACGAGGATACTACCTCTGGCGAACATTCCCTGCAGATGGAGCCTTGCATCTTTGAGGTGTGAAACTGATCCCACGGAACCTAGAGTCCTGATCCCACTCTTCTTTGCCTAAGCCAGGCCCTCCCTGGCTTCTTTCTAGCTAGGTAACCTCCCTACTCTTAACCCCCCTACTCCACCAACCCAACTTTATTACAACCCCCCTTCTCCCGATAACCCCTTCAGACACAGCCAACAAAGCGGTTTTTGTCCCCATCCCACTGTCTAAATATTAGTTGTTAAAATTGCTATTGCTCCGCTGTTTCCCGACTGCTGCTTGTCTGATCTGACCTTTGCTCTCTGTCTTCCTTCTCGTATCCAGCAAGATAAGATGGTCACGTTTCTTGTTGCTATGCCATTGCCTCCTTCTCTGTAGGCAATCAACTCCACGCAATCCTGCACCTCTAAATGTTGGGTGCAATCAATTTATTTCCACAATTTCGTCAAGAATTGTAATCTCTCAATCGGAATCAATTTCTTATTATAATCAAAACTCGTATTGTAGACACACCATCTTCACGCGAAACGAACGATTTTTATTAGCCAGCCATTTCCAGATCATTCTTTAGCTCAACGTTTAAAAAAATCTCCAAAACGATCGTACAACTTCACGTGCATCAGAAGAAGTCCAATAATTCACTAAAATCAATCAGCTTCATTGACCTGTTATCCCCCTAATGGTCCCTCATTTCCACGGAATTACTATTACCACGAGCAGCCAAATATCTGATAGTATGTCAAATCCAAGTCGGCACGGTTCTCCCTTTCCTCTTGTTGCTTTACGGGCATTCGTTACCTTTGTTATTATGGTTTTTCCTTATTGCCTGTTCAGCCATTACTGGTGTCCATATGGGCAACTAAAGACTCTGTTATCATCATGCCGGCTTATCTTCCCATTTCATTATTTGCGGCTCTCTCAGCTTATTCATGGTTAAAATTCAATACATACGGTGAGAACTATTTTGCCTCTATTCGGACATTGGGGTCTCGCCCATGGGTTCTGCATTTAACTCTTTCTCTTAGGTTCTTTGTCACCAATCTGTTAATGTCACCTCTTCTGCTCTTTTCTCGACTTTGGGAAATGTAATAGGGTTGTACCTTCAAAACACCTTTTTCCTAGGTCATATCCCAGGATCTACGGAGGAAACGTAGCCAGAGCCATTTGTCCATTGTATTTGGTCATGGTGTGTTGTTCATTTGGATTTGTGGGTCCTTCCTGTTATTTTCTCTGGGTATAACTTTATCACAATATTCTACTTCTGGAAACAGAGTCATTTGCAAAAGGAGAATGTGTGTGGCTGGTTTTTTATAAGTACTATTTACCTATCTCTCCTGCCCAACCTTGTGTTTGTCCATGCCTGTTCTTTTCCATTATTTGTTCAGTGTTGCTTTCCCTGCGTACAAAACACGGTCATCTTACAGCAAGAGTCCATCAAGTGGGTAATTCCTCAAGTGACTCTTGTAACTTATCAATCGTGTTTATTTGTAGTCCGCTCATCTTGCCAATTAGAGGTGTCTGCAATAATGGAAAAAGCACTCCCCACGTCAGGAGGTTAACTACCTGGTAAGGAAGCGCCCGACACCTAAGGGTAACGAGTTGCTACGATGGGACCCTCTTTGTTGGGCAGCGTATCAAGCACACGAAAGGCATCTCGGGTGGGGTACTGGGGGGGGGAAGGCCACGTTTTCTGTGGGGCGATGGCGGGGTTGATGAAACGTTCCCCTGCTATGCCTTCACAGGCAAGCTGGTCGGCTTCATCTGAGGTTTCCATTGGCAAGATTTCTATCCCTCTCGGTCTGCTCTGCGGTCCTTTCAAGATCCCATTTATGCTAAGTCTAGTTCGCAGGCTGGGACTTTATGGGCTCGACTGCGGTGGGGGACTTTGTTTGGCAATGATGCCCTTGGTGTTTCTCATTCCTGTCACAGTCCCACTGAACAAAGCCGGCAAGTCGTCACTGGATGGGTCTTCCTCGCTGACATGGACTGCCTTGATCTACTCTGGAACGCTTTTGGCTCTTTACCGAATCTTTGGCCTCTTGTTCTTCTCCAACATCACTATCGCCACCAACCGAACAGTACCAGCACACCACAGGGCGACATGATGTGCTTTGCCACACTTGTGCCGTGCACACAACGCAGGTCCTTCCTTGCTGGTTGCATTTTTGTTGGCCCTTCGGCCTCTCCAGTTTCATTCCTTGCCGGCGGTTGAGTGCCGCGTGGTGCTTGTCCCTTTGTGCCACTCGGGTCTATCTGACTTGTCTTGCAAGCCTTTCAGCATTGACACTGCCATTCCACGAGCACTTAGCGAGGACGCTGACAAAGCCTCTACCTTGGCTGTGTAAAGACACAACGAATGCTCGAAACATCATTTTAGAACTCTTAGAACTTCATAACGTTAGACATCTTTTAAAATGCAACAGACAGGAACATCTATAGGAAATGGGGAGCTTACTGTGCCGTTAAATGTAGAGGGGCCAAGGGGGGGGGGGTATACACACACAGTGCGAGCGGCAAAGCCGTTCAATCGACACTCTAGTAGGTCTACAAGAATTAATAGATTTGGGGACTGCAGCATTAGTCTCTACTGAAAGCAGTGAATCTTCGTGTGACAAAGCATCCACCCACAACGCATCAGACCGTGAAATACCCATTGCAGTTCCTGAAGTGCCTACGGAATCTTCGTTGGCTGAGAATGCCATGCCATCAAGAGTCGCTGAGGACTCTGTTCCATATCCAATCTGCTTCCTCCAATGGCTGGACGTACAAGACTTGTGGCCACCATTTTCCATCTATCGAGACATGTCCGAGTTTGATGATATTATCATCTTTCAAGCATGCTTAGTTGGGACGTCCTCACTCTGAATGAAATCCTGCCAATGCTGAAATGACACGGAAAGTTGACTCCAAAGCATCCAGGACCGTCTTGTAGAAAGAGTCCTGACGATAACCAAGCGTTATTTTTGTAATGTTTTCGAACACTAGATAGAACTGGTCCAGTCCATCTTTACCAAACCGCTTGTTGTCTCTTGAGAATATATTTACCTAGACCTCGCCGTCGTGAGCAAAGCTGCCAAGGAAAGTGAACAAACCTGCCTCTCAGCCGAGGCAGATGGGCAGTCACTGTTGAAGGATCCTGTGAGCAGTCTCCTGCAGTCTGGGTGCAGCGTTGAATCAAGCTACAAGCATAGGCCATGAACGATTTCAACTTTTTTGGATGGGAGGAAGACACAACCAAACATGTCTTGGCCTCTGCTGATACCGCCGTAAGCTCTCATTCGTCCTACCGGTACCAGGTACTGGTACTAGCTAAGGGGACTACACTGAAGTCATCTCTAATCCTGCATTATTATTGTTATATCTTGCATCCAACGCATTCGTCACAAAGTTACACGAGAATTTCTTCTTGGATCTGTTCGGTGTCATTGAATCGATCTTGAATCTGTTTTGCTTCAGGTTGGCAGGAAGAAGGCGTCGATCACTGCTGTACTACTAGCCAGTCCAAACATGGATGTTGCTCCTATCACAGGAGGAATCCACTCCAAACGAATGGACCCAGCTGTTCACTTGAACGAGGAGTGCATGGTTCAAGTCTTTAGCTTTGTTGGCGGACGATTGGCATCTGGCGTGGCTTCGAGCATTGCTATCGATGGAGGCAGTACAAGTGAAGAGACAGAAACCACAGAAGAGAGCGTTGGACTATGTATCTCTGAGGCATTTTCCTGCTATGAGCTGCTAGCAAGTGTTTCCTGGGGATGGAAAGCCATTGTGGACAAGCACAGTCGACACCTCTATTCAGATTTATGTGTTAACTTTGAAGCTATTCCGATAGAGCACTTGGAATTCTTTACTGATTGGACCTGCCTACACAAATTCCGCGTCAAGAGCATCCTATGTTATTCCGGCGACTGTCAAAAGGCGGCGACTCGAATATTGAGAGATTGTGACACATCCAAATTGACTCTGGCGTCCATTGTGATTCCAGCGAATGAATCAGCAGCTACGACAGATAAGGAAGACTCTCCATCCAATGAGGGACAACAACATCTCATGCTTCAAGAAGCGCTTGCACAGGAATGTCCAGAGCTAGAAACCCTATGCTTCCAGCTTGTTGTGAATCAAAATGATTTGGGATCGGACTTTATGAACCCAGCTCTGTTCGCTCTTCCATCCATCACGAGCCTTGTTGTTTCCGTGTCAACCGACTGCTGTGTGTTGGACGATGAAATGATTTTTTCTCGCCTGATCCAAGGCTTCCCCAATCTGCAAAAGCTAGAGCTGGAATCCAATCAAGAATCCTTTTGTGAACGCAGCAATCCAGTCATTTTTCACATTGCCTCTACAACGCTGGAACACCTCTACGTGCCAAGTCTCTGCACTGAATTTGTCTACTTGTCATTGGATTGCCCAAGCCTGCAACTCTTCATCTGTGCCGGAGATGCCACGCCCGAGGATCGCAATATCTTGAGATTGAAACAAACCGTCCTCTCGGCCGAAAGTGTGACCGAATCTTGTCTCGGGGCGATTCGTCAGGAAGATTCCGATGAACAGCAGTTGGAGTGCTTTGAGTTTCGCAAATTGCTGGGTTGAGCCAAACATTTTGGGAGAGAAGTCGCTCTACCGGTAACCAAATTGGGAATCGTAAGCAGCTTCAAACTGATCTGTTGAGCACTGGTTTGTTGAAACTGTCAATGCAATCCTTATCCAAGCCAAGCCCGTGACAGATGCCTGGACAAGCTATCGGAGTGAGCATGGCGTTGGTATAAAGCTCAAAAGTAAACATCCCCACGAAACCGTATAGAATCCTCCTCACGATATCCCAATAACCTAGACAAAACGCTACCATCCCTAGTAGAATCAACCCCAGGCCTCTCAATCGTAGAGACTAGACTTTATGTCAAGCATTCGATGTGACACTTTTCTTGTTGGTTCAGAGAGTCAAATGGAAGCAAAAACTGAGTTCGTTAGTCTTTCAACAGCAATATCGGAACACAGATGCCACAGGCAACACAAAACACGAAACCAATAGATAGTGGACCCTCATCGACAGCAGCAACAAGATAGCATGTTTTTCTCTAGGTAAGCTTGATCATCCATGGATAAAAGGGACTGAGCAAGGGCAAAATGGACGGGATTGCTCTAGCGCGTAGATTCAAAACTGAAAAGCTACGGGGAAGCAAGCTTTCCAGTAGAACTATTCTCGCGCGGGAAGTTTTGATTGCAGACGCACACAGATGGAACAACGATTTATTTGCGAGAGGGCACCGATCGAGATGAGGACTTACCGAGCGGAATCAATCCACAGCCACAAGTTCGCCGTGAGAACAAGGAGTTGACTGATCAATCTTCATCAGTGATCGATTTTTGCTTTTGCGACGACTGTTGCTGTTGTTGCTTTTGCTGAGAGATGCTGGTCTCATAAGCTGGATGAATGGGTGGAGCCACGGGTGGAATGTACTCGTGTTCTTCAATGGGATAGCTCGCATCGGCATCCAAATGTTGTCCATTGTTGTTGGACCAACCTGACAAATCCCCACAAGCCAAAAAGGGAACTACGGAAGAATCCAGTTTGGGTTCTTTATTGTTCGTTTCTTCGCCCACAATAGGCGCAAGATCCAAGTAGCCTCCCAAATCCAGCGGTAAATCTTGGTATTGCGATCCCTGTTTAAAGTTCTGACAGACCACAAAGGCTTCCATGGAGGAGTTTCGTGAACTGGTTGGTTTGGCAATACTGACTCGATGAAACAAACAGCGCAATTGCGCATACAAGAGTCGAACATTCTTCCCTCGGAAGATCTTGGCGACAAAGGTCCCTCCCGCTTCCAAGACGTGAGTGGTAATCAACATGGCTCCTTGCAACAATTGAGATTGCAGGAATTCGTCAATGTCGTGCAATCCCGTCACATCGGGCGCTCCATCGCAAATGACTAGTTCGGCACGCTGGCCTCGAAAGTGTTGAATGATCTCGTGCGCGGTTGCCTGCGAGGTAATGTCGCCCTGAAAGGACACGACGCCATCAATGGGAGCCATGGGTTGCAAATCGACCGCCACAATCTTGGGGACTGCGTCGTCTTTTTGAGCGTTCAGTTGATCGGCCAACACTTGACTCCAGGATCCAGGAGCCGCACAAAGATCTACTGCGCGGGAGACTTTGGGCGCCCCTTGTTGCTGCTGTGTCGCGGATCCATTATTATCCTTCTGCTGGAGTTGCTGTAGGAATTCTTCGCGACGACCAAACAGATCGAATTCCGCATCCAACTGCAGCAACTTGAACGCAGATCTCGCTCTGTAGCCTTTTTCTTTGGCCAATCTATAGAAGATGTCGCGTTTGTCTCTTGATAGTCTTCCCATGGTCTCTCTCTACCTACCTAGCTAGCTAGATAGTAGCAGCACCCAGAAACAATAAGGCCATCGTCATGACAGCAGATCTTTTGACGACGATCTTGACCCCACAAAAGGGGCACTGGATATGAGTCCAAATCGAAGAGCTTTTCACAGTTAGTTTTCAAAATTGACAAAAATAAAAGATTTTGGAAAAATGAGACCAAGCCGCCATCAGTGCAACCCTTCGTAGTCTAATTTCCTTTCTTCCTACCGGTACAGCTGTACTATAACTCATCGAGCGATATGGCAGAGTCGCCCTTCAGTGGGATGGACAAACTGGTTGTGGGAGTCCTGGTAACCCGAGTGACAGAGTCGAGTGAAGATTCTAACTAAGAAAACCAGCACAACCAATCTGGTCTGGAATATGCTGCATCGTGGTCGTCTCTTTGCAAATTCAGTTGCATCAACTGATCAGATTGCACAAGGCTCAACTGGCACTAACCCTTTGAACACGTATTGTAAGCCATCAGTCAGTTGCAGGAGAGACAGCATTTTATACCGCCGTAGGTTGATATTATTCGTGCACCTGTAGTCAACCTCTGTTGGAATCTAGCGAAACTGAGGACATTTTTTGGTTGGTTCCGTAGTATCGGCACAGTCGCTGACGAAAACCGAAATCCAATCACCTCGAGTACCGGCAGAATCCGTTGATCTCTTCCGGCCCAAAGCTGCAGACGATATTGCATCAGGATCCGCTTGTAGCGCCGACTATTTGCTGTACTTGTCCAACTCAACTGAGTGTCGTTTTGGGTTATTATGGAAGTGTGGAGACAAAGGCATTTTCGTAGGGTTGCCTGGCAATGTGGTGCGGAAACGGCACCGAATCCAATCGTTTGGCTCGATTGCGTCGTTCGTGTTTCCAGTATTGTCGATTAGTCGCCGTGGGATGTGCATGCATCTTGTCCGAAACATGAAAATGCCACAATTTGATGATCCGACACGCATTGGCATCGTATGCTTGTGGGACGCTGTCCATCAATGCCCAGAGAGCGGCATTCTCGGCTCCAATCTCATTCATGCGGAAGAATGTTTTTCCTTCCTGGTTGGTGCGATTGTCCTTTCGGAAATAGGGCATGACTTGGCGCGTCCAACGGTCCGTCTGTAGTTGCTTTCCTTGTAGCAATTGTTGATGAAACAAGTAGCCATCCCACGAGTCTGTTTGGTCCTTGCATCGTGCGCGAATGCCCTTGTTTTTGGACAGTCTGCCACTATAGACGTGTCTGCCAACGACAAATTCGAGGTAGTTGACTACATCCTGTGGCATTCTCTCATGATTGAATCCCCAGCTGGATAAGGTAACAAGGGATGTTTCCTTGATTTGACTGGCCCGTTGAGCAGTGTCATCAAATGCATGATCGGCATTGGCCAGAACCACAACGGGTCCCTTGACAATGGTGGAATTGATGGCATATTGAAACATTTGCAAGTAACTTGGCTGTTCTTCGGGTCGGTCCACACAGGTTAGTTTGGAATGCTGAAATGGCTGAAATGTGGAATTTCGATTGTTCTTTTGGAGCCAATCCATGAATTTTTGCTCTAGATCCACCATGGCTTGTTGAAAATGGCTGCAATTGGATTGTTGTGTTGCAGAATCTAGAATGACCACCACTTGCTGAAAATGAGGATTGTGTAGATTGTTCAAAATTGACATTTTGATTTCCTTTACATGTGGATGCGAATCTGATGAGGATGCAGCAACTGCAAAGAAACTGACCACGAGAGACACAGAAGGAGTATTGGAATCGCTACTACTGGTTGTTTCTGGTAGAAGTCTTTGCTCTGGTTCAATGCTATCTTCAGTGCCAGCGAGATTTTTCACAAGACCTTCATCCTCTATTATTTGCACTTGGAATGGTACCGGTACTCCTGTACTACCGCTACTACTACTAGTAGCATTCTTTGGTGCCTCAACGAACTTTCTCGTAACGGACTCGACTGTGATGCCTTCATTTCTTCGCAAAATCACATCGAGCAGGACCGATCCAAGTGCCAGAAAAGCCAGGAAGAATAGCACGTAATCCTTCTTCGTGCCCGAAGCGGTTGGTGTCGTCGAGCTACCACTGCTTGTCATCTTTTCCTCGGCACGATAACCATTGCAAACATCGAACTGGCAACAACAATCCAACTCCATCTTTTTTTCAAATACGCTTCGATGCGAGGATTCAGGACTCGCAAACGCACAAACGTGACTAAAATAGCTACTAAAATCCCTCCTTCCGCGAACAGATCCAAGCAAGGTGGTGGTTGTACGACTGTATGATACCATGCAGCACTGTGTCACCATCATCTACATGTCTACCGGTATTATTGCAACCCCTATCACAATATGATTTATATCACTTTTAGGTCTTTACAAGTATCCATGCATCACCATGCAAATGGATACCATTGATATCAACTCCCAAGAAGAACAAGCAATCACATCCTCAATCAATCAATCAATCATTCAGAAATCATTTAGAGGTTCCGAAACACGCATACCAGAAAATTGGAGAGGAGTCGAATTCTCTCCATTTTGTTGGTGTGGATTGTCACGTACTAAGGAGGCTTGCGCTTGTCTGGAATAAAGGAGCCGCCGAGAGACGCCTGAAGCGACGCCACGGTACTGGGGTCGTGATTGACAAAGAGCGCATTGGCACCAACGGTGCTCAGGGTATCAAAATACTGGGACAATAGCAAAATGTCCATGACATCTTTGGGACGGGTTCCAACTTCATTGGAGAATTCCGTGACACTTTCCTGTAGACCCTGGACAATAGCCTTGCGCTGTCGTGCCACTCCCAAACCGCTCAAATACCGACTCTCCGCTTCGGCTTCGGCTTGTTTCGTGAGCTTGATTTTATCCGCTTCGGCCTTGTGAGCGGCGGCTTCTTTGAGGCGCTTGCTGGCATTGATTTCATTCATACTGGCCTTGACTTTGTAATCGGGGCTCATATCCGTCATAAGTGTATTGAGAATTTCGTATCCGTAGTCTTTCATGACATCTTTGAGTTGGGCCAAGACGGCATCGGCAATTTCGGCCTTGCTGGCAAAGGCAGCATCCAATTCCAATTTGGGCACCGTACTGCGAACCACATCAAAGACGTAGGATTGGATCTGACCACGAGGATCCGTCAACCGATAGTACGCGGCATAGGCACCTTCTTCCAGCACACGATATTGGACTGCCACTTGGACCTGATCAACATTGTCTGTTGTGAGTAACACAGCAAGAGAGATAAAGGCACAGCATCCAATCGCCATGCCATTGGCGTTCTACAAGACTCACGTGAACAAACACATTGTCCTTTGTCTTGGTCTCGCAGAGAACATCCAATTGCTGGATTCGCAACGACAAACGTCCTACGATAGTCTTGAGAGGCCAAAACATAAAGTGCAGTCCAGGCCCTGTATATCATCATCATCATCACACAAGAAACTGATGAGATCAACCAGAACTCCAAACCTGTGAGTACATCTAAGACATCTGCTCAAGTCTTACCCAATAGCTGCTCAAAATTACCCAGATCTTCCACTACAGCAACCTCCTTCGTGCGGACGCACTGAAGGCATGGCACACAACAGCAGCCGTCATCCATCGTGAACGCTAATACAACAAATCAGTCAAATGATCTTCAACAGCAGCAACAGCAGATTGTAGCAACAACAGCGGACAACGGAAAGCAAGCAAGCGGCTTCTTGTGTCATGGGCTTCTCGATGTTGGATGCCAGCTGTGAAACACGACTGGAATTCAATTTTCGTAAAATTAATTTGAATTTTACGGATCTGTTTTGGATGTCCCTAATCTAATTTTTATGAAACTTTCTGAAAAGTAAAAACAAATACAAATTGATAAGATACACAACAGCGAATGCAAAAGCAAAACAAACAGTTTTATTTCCAAAAGCATCAATCTCTAAGAAACATTTCGTATTATAATAATGTCCATATTTTTCCGTAAAATTGATTTCTGTAAATTACCCAAGTCAAGTCCAATTTTAGAAAAACTGACAGCAGTGAAGACCTCCTCGCATCTTTGGCGGATCGAGGTGGGGAACCAGAACTTTTATCAGCCTTGCAGCATTATTGACCCCGACAATTCTTTCGATTTTAGCACACTGAAGCTGAAAGTTCCCTAAGGTACTGCTTGAGCTGCATCTAGCTAGCATGGAAGAGCAGCACCACTGGCTGGAAGCGCATCGCCCTTGGTTGCCTTTCCTGTTTTTGCTGGTTGAAGAAGATGCCAAAAATACTTCCTGTACGCGCTGTCGTTGCACACAGCAAACTTTCCATCCCAGTACCCTAGCTACTAGTCCATCATCTGCAGACCCCACTTCTGGTTATCCCGAATCAATCCTTCGGGACCTGCCCCTGTCCATCTCCGAGCCAGCCAATTCCCGTTTCAGAACGTACACTAGCTAGTAGGACCAACCGCGGAGATATAGTATATCTGCTGGACCAACCTCAAGAAGTCATGCGTCTGTGAGGAATCATTGCCCTTGTCTCAACTTGAACAGTTCATTCACTTTTTTAGACTGGGCCCTTGGGACCGAGGATCTTGTTGTTCCAGGTTTCAGGTGAAAGCTACTCGCTAGCAGTAACCTCCTCAAATTCCTAGCTAGCTTTAAAACTTACAGAAACACTCCAATGACTTTTCGAATGATTTGGACCATGCCAATCACGGAAACTACACCTAACACTCGTCCAGCTTTGCGGTTCTTTTGGCGAATCATGGTGAGGACAAAGGCATCGTCTCCGTATTGGCCAATTGCCTCTTCAAAACCCTTTCTTGCCTTTGCTTTCTCCAAGTATTTCAACAGACCCTTCGGGATGGCAATGGGAGCAGCGCCGACGTCGTTGCAATGGACAATCCAGTTCAAGTAGACCGTCGTCACAGCATCTGCACGTCCGAACTGATCGCCCAACAACCACTCGCCACCGTTTCGAGTTCGTTCGTCCTCCAACCAATCCACCACCGCTTGAATCCTTTTCTGGACGTCCCCAATGTCCTTGGAGAAGTGTTTCTGTGACATTGCCGCCAACTTGTCCTCGTATACATCAAAGAGATCGGGCTCCTGTTTCTGGTATCGGCGGATCTTTTTGGGCAGCACAATCTTTTTCGCTGGGGAACGGGCAATCACTTTTAGCAAGAGTATTTTACAGGATCCCGACAACCAGGCGAGACTTCCTGGACACTCGGAATACAATTGATCGAGCACTTTGGCTTCTTCCTGGGTCTCGTCACTTCCGTAGCCCCAGCGCACAATATCTCGGCTTTCCGTCAGAACCGTGTCGCCAGCGGCCGTCAGGGACGGGATTTGCCCCTTTGGATCGATGCGAAGGTACCACGGCTCCAATTGCTCCATTTGGGGCATGTTCACGTATCTCGATTGGAAGTGTACATCGTTCTCGCACAGCGCCATTCGCGCCACACCGGCATAGTAGGAGTTGACGCTATCATAGAGAGTTACAACGGTAGTACTAGAAGGAGAAGCCAACTCCATGTCTTTCGATGCGGCAAAAAGAGCCGATGATTTGGTCTTGGCCAAGTTTCTGCCAACCGTCCAAGCTTTCGCTGAACCGAAAAATAAGGACACTACTAGAGCGAATGGAACCTTCATTTTGTTGTTGGATGCAGTTGTGGGTTATGTAGTACGTTGTTGTTGAGCCACCGGTACCGGTACCGCACAGATGATGTTTGTGTAAAAAATGAGTTATCGGTAGAAAGTTGAAAGAAAGGGGTCGGAGAGGTAAGAAGGGGGAAAAAGTCACTTCTCCGAAATAGCACACCTCTCCGCACCTCTTCAGCTCTCCAGATCCCCTTTTCTTCCCCTCTTGTGGCTCCCTCAGAAAGAAAAGAAGTGCCAAGAAGAAGTGACAATTGACGCACCCTTTGCATTGGTCAGCACGTCTCCATTTTCCAGGAGGGTTCCTCAATCGTGTATGAAGTTAAATCTGAAACGACCCTAATTTAGGGACGGATTTAGGGACGGATTCCCTTTAGGGTCGGGTTTCAAAACCGACCCTAAAAATAGGGACGGTTACTGAAAAACCGTCCCTAATTTAGGGTCGGATTTCGATTTAGGGTCGGGTTTGAAAACTGTCCCTAAATAGAAACGGGACTGAGTGGTAAATACATTGAAATCCGACCCTAATTTAGGGTCGGGTTTCAAAACCGACCCTAAAAAGAAACCGTCCCTAGTTTTAGGGTCGGATTTTGATTTTGGGTCGGGTTTCGAACCCAGACCCTATTCTCCAATAGAATTAGGGACGGGTTTCAAAGCTTTAGGGTCGGATTTAGGGTTGGTTTCTCCATCACCCACTATTGAGGGACGCTCCAGAGTTCTTGGGAACACTATGTATGGCCACGTCACCACGAAAAGGCTAGTCATCCAGAGGAACGTCAAACTTAAATCGTGGAGCTCTTTGAATCATCTCGTGATTGAATCTTCAATAGGAGTACTGTACTAGACTATTGATACTGGAGTATTAATAGTTTGATAGGGTGGCCTCGAAGGTTTAAGTCTTTGTTCATTTCTAGTGACAGTCTTTTCATGCATGATGCATGCAGGTGCGGAGCTCGCGTGCTCGCAAGGACGTGTGAGACGCCGAACCCCAGCTCACTTGAACGTTGAGTGCGTCTAAAAATGGTTCCAATGAACGGACTATCAATTTTGTGTACACTCACAAAATCACAATCCCAGAGAATTCCCAATTGAGCGACGACCATGACAGCAACAACCGCCGTCGTCAAATAGATAATGCCCAGACTGAAACCATCACCATCTCCCTCTCCATACTGCACTAAGCTACTGTCATCTAGCTAGCTAGCACCGCCTCGATTTGATTCAATATGCCCGCAGAAGATGGCAATTCGGAGGAGACCATTTCGGCGTACTTTGTCTTTTTCTCCGCTCTACTGTCCGTGGTGTTGATCCTTTCCAAACTGCTCCATGATCGACAACGTTTGGCGAGTATTCTCCCCGAAGCCGGAATGATTGTGGGTGTCGGAATGGTGGCGGGTGCGCTGGTGTTGTGGGTGTTTGGAGAAGAACGCATGGGTCAAGTGCGGGGCATGGAAATGGACGATGACGCCTCCAATGTGGACGTTCATGCACTCGTCCACAATGTGCTGAGTTTTAGTCCCAATGCCTTTTTTGTGGCATTGCTGCCTCCCATTATTTTCAACAGTGGGTACCATTTGCGACGAGAATTGTTCTTTCGGCATATTCGACCGATTGCTCTATTGGCTGTCGTGGGGACACTGGTATCGACCATTGCCATTGCCACTCTGCTCCAGATGGTCAAAGTCTTGGGATGGATTGGACATGGACAAGACGAAGAAGAAGCCTTTGCGCCCACACTGACGGAGCTATTGACCTTTGGAGCCTTGATTAGTGCCACGGATCCAGTCTCCACCTTGGCGGTCTTTCAAGTCAAACGAGTGGATCCACAACTCTTTTATCTCGTCTTTGGAGAATCCGTTTTGAATGATGCCGTTGGGTTGGTACTCTTTGAAACATTCTGCAAGTTTGTACAACGCGACAATGGAGCTGGAAAAATTGCCATGGGCGTCATGGAGTTTGTCGTGGGATTTGCCTTGGACGCTGTCATTTCTCCGGTATTGGGATGGGTTTGCGCCGTACTGGCGGCGCTCTTATTCAAACATATTGATTTGAGAAACAATACACTCCTCGAACTCGCACTCTATCTATTGATCATGTACGTGCCCTTTCTCATGGCCGAAATACTACAACTCAGTGGCATTGTCACCATTCTCGTGACGGGCATTGCCGCACGACATTACGTCGAACCCAATTTATCCACACAAACACAAGATATTGCCGATGTCATTTTCCGGCTCAGTGCCCATCTCGCCGAAACATCCATCTTTTTAGAGTTGGGACTCAGTGTGGCCGGGGTCACGGAGTTTTTGCAATGGAAGTTTATTGGCTGGTCGCTCGTAGCGTGCTTGGTGGCACGAGCGTGTCATGTCTATCCCATTGCCTTTTTCTTTAATCAGTCGTTGCTGTTGAGAGAGCAGCGACAACAGCAACAAAAGGAAGAAGAAGAACCCTGTCGTGTCTTTTTTGGCTACAACATCAAGGCAGGTATGGATGGTCTCATGAAAATGGAGTTTGGTCAACAAAACGCGTCACAATCAGTCGGCAACAACAAGGTTGACGAGGCAAACTTCAAAACAACCGCAAGAAAACCAATGTCTGGCAACCTCGAGTTGACGGAACATCTCAACGACTTTTACCACAATCAACAAGACGACGACGATAAGGACGAAACGACCACAAAACCAAACAGAAAACAAGTGGAACGATCCGCTTCCAATGTCACTGCCAACTCGGAAACGACACTCACACCCGTCCCCCAACGAGATTTAAAAATACAAGCCAACACGGCCCACATGCTATGGTTTTCGGGACTGCGGGGTGCCGTGGCATATGCGTGTGTGAGATCCTTTCCCGATACATTTAACCACGAACGAGAATTTACTTCCACCACCATGATGATTGTACTCATCACGGTCTTTGTCATGGGTGGGGCCACCGAAGCGGTTTTGAAAATGCTGAATATCGAAATGAATGTCAACGAAGATCAGTACATGGAAGCTTGGAGACGAAGTGATCAGGCACCAGTACCTGGATTTTGGACCTTTTTCGGTAAGTTTGTTCAAGTGGAAACACAACACTCTGGTTGCTGTATATGTACGGCAAATCAACGTCCCTATCATCTCATGGTAAATTTTTTATTTCTGTCGCAGACAAGCGCATGGTACTACGCTACGTGGTCCGGGATTATGACATGTCTGCCTCATCCCGAGACGATTTGGGTATCAGCCCAAGTGCATCGAACGACTCGGCCACCAACCCCAAACGCCCACAACGAGAAGGTTCCTCTCGCGTAAGCAGCAACAGCACCAATACGAAGGGTGCAGAAATGAGTAGGAACAGTGATCCTCTTCCTGATATTGAAGTCACAGAATCGACGCATTATGATACACTTCAAGAAATGGGGTTGGTTCCGCTACGACGAAAGACATCACTCTTTGATTATGGTCTCAAGAAGTCAGAGTGAGGTGGTGGAACAATTTGGTTTCTCCGTTTTTTGCGTCCTGCGCAACATGGAGTTGTTGTGGTCTTCCCGTGCTCAACTAGCCGCATTACCGGTGCTCGGTAACGGCAGGCATTCAAACACAGTTGGCTTCGAGCGCCCGAATGAGCAAGAGGTGCGCGTGGTCCGTGCTTTCGTTGCGTGGCACTGTTAACTGTCAGGATCATCGTTTGTTGGGTCCAAGCTGAGGGTTGCTTGCGGAAGAAAAAAGTCCGATGGCGTGAGGAACTTGGCTGATCCTCGTCGATGCTCCCGTGGGAAACTTCATGGTACAACCTACTGAATAGCTAGTGTTGTATTCCCTACTACAGGGTACGCACAATAAAAGTATGGTAGCTGGTTCAAGATCTAGTATCACCAAGATGAAACCTCAGTATCGACGAGGCTGCGAGGACAAAAAGCAGCCCCACCGTTCCGAGCTCACTCAGTTGCAAATAGAGCAATTTCTAGCTAGGCGATGACCTCCTCCTCAAATATCGACTCATCATCGTAGTACTCTTCGATGATTTCTTCCTCGTCGTCGTCGTAGTACTCTTCTTCAATGATTGACTCATCTTCATATTCTTCATAGGACTCGTCCGTGTAGTCTCCAGAGGCTGCAGAAGTTACAGAAAGATGACGTTGTACACTTGGTTGTTTCTGAATGCTGGTGCGCTTCTTCAAGCTTGGTCGCTTTGACACGCTTGATTGTTTCTGTAAACTCGGCCTTCTGCCTTCGCCGGACTTCACACTGGTGCGCTTTGTTGTACTTCCCTGCTTTTTTAAGCTTGGCCGTTTTTTAGTATCTCCCTGCTTTTTTAAGCTTGGCCGTTTTGAAACGCTACCCTGCTTCTGGAAGCTGGGCCGCTTTGGTGCCACTGGCTGTTCAACTTCATTCGGCTCTTGAGGCTTCAACTGTTGTTGTCGTTGGATCCAAGATGGTCGCTGTGATTGGGAGAGGGAGCCTCGTGGACCTAGAGGTTTCGTGTCGCTCTTTTCCTCTTGCGGTTTGTTTGGCTTTAATCGTTGCGCAAAAGAAGGGCGCTTTGCTTCCACGAGAGGCTTCTGAACAGGTTTGGCATCACCTTGTCCGGTGGAATCTTGGTTTTTTTGACTTCGTCTTTGTATCCAAGAAGGACGTTGAGACTCGGAGAGCTTTCCTGAACCGGTCTTCGCAGCGGGATCCTGTGATTTGGATGTCGCAACCGGTGTTTCTTCCGTCTTGACCTGCTTTTGTGATTCTTGTCGACGCTGGGCCCACGAAGGCCGCTTGGCTTCGGGGAGAGCATCAACTCTTGAGGGCTTGGAGGGGGCTGTTTCGGTTTCCTCTTTTGCTCCAGGCTGCACCTGTTGCTGCCGCTGCGCCCAAGATGGTCGTTGAGCTTCCTTCAAGGATCCTGGACCAGCCTTGGAAGCGCTCTGTTTTGGCAACGGAGCACGCCTGCTTTCCTTGGCTGAAGGTGTGGAGGCATCATCGCCAGTTTGCTCCTGAATTTCCGACTGCTGCCGCCTTTGTGCCCACGAGGGTCGTTGTGCTCCGGTAAGAGCTGCTGGACCCTTCTGCGTGGCCGGTTTGGTGGGACGCTTAGATTCTTTCATCTCAGCCTCGGATGCTGCTACATTGGAAGATTCTGTCTTGTCCTTTTGTTCCTTGGAACGATGCGCCCAAGACGGTCGCTGAGCTTGCGAGAGTGAACTTGGTCCAATCTTTTTGGGGCCTTGCTGTGAATCTTTTGAATCGGCTACTCCAGGGTTTGAGGCGGTATCTCCCGATTCGCTCATTCTACGCAATGAACGTTGCATCCACGATGGCTGCTTCGACTCTGCCAAAGCGCCCGGTCTCGCCTCTTTGGGAGCTTCCGTTGTTGACTTCTTATCCTTGGTCGCAGACGCTGCCTGCTCGGGTTGTTTCAGGGAAGTCTTCGACAGTTGTCGCCGTTGAACCCAGGAAGGTCGCTGTGCTTCCACAAGAGCTCCTGTGCCTGTCTTTGGTGCTGGCGACTTACCGGTGACGGTAGCCTTTTCCGATTCTGCTTGTTCTTGCTGCTTCCTTGCTGCCCAGGAAGGACGCTGCGCCTGAGCCAGTGACGCCACACGATCTTTGGTTGGTGGTTTGGCCGGTGTAACTTGTACACCTGACTGTGGCGCCTCTTGTTTCGCAGACTTTTTGGTTGGTGGTTTGGCTTTTGTAACTTTTGCACCTGACTTTTTCCTGGTTGGTGGTTTGCTTGTGTAACTTTTTCACCTGACTTTGGCGCCTCTTCTTTCACAGACTTTTTGGTTGGTGGTTTGGCTTTTGTAACTTTTTCACCTGACTTTGGCGCCTCTTCTTTCACAGACTTTTTGGTTGGTGGTTTGGCTTTTGTAACTTTTTCACCTGACTGTGGCGCCTCTTGTTTCACTGACTTTTTGGTTGGTGGTTTGGCTTTTGTAACTTTTTCACCTGACTGTGGCGCCTCTTGTTTCACTGACTTTTTGGTTGGTGGTTTGGCTTTTGTAACTTTTTCAACTGACTTTTTTCTGGTTGGTGGTTTGGCTTCTGTAACTTTTTCACCTGACTTTGGCGCCTCTTGTTTCGCAGACTTCTTCAACGCCTGTTGACGCTGCTGGATCCACGACGGCCGTTGTGACTCGGCGAGTGCAGGCCTTCCCATCTTTGGTGCCGTCTGCTGCTGGGTTTCCGTGTCTTTGCCTTTGGGGGTATCCTCAGCGGATTTGTCGTTCGACGAGTGCAACATTTGCTCTCGCTGCTGCATCCAAGAAGGTCGTTGAGAACCAGCCAAATCCCGCGATGACAGCTGCGCTTGTGGTCTTCTTGGATTCTGCTCCTGTGATACTGTAGATTCTTTCGTTGGCAGCGTCCCTTTGCTGCTTTCTAGTGTCGATATTGAGGACAAGGAAGGCGACGGTGATGTTATGGGTCTTGGTCGCTGCTGTCGCTGCACCCACGAAGGCTGTTTTGCTTCGGCAAGAGAACCCGGTCCAGGCTGAGGCGCTGCTGCTTTTGTTGGAGCGCCACCGCTGCCTTGTGTCGTTGCATGTTTCGTCTTTGCTTTCACCGTTGTTGGCCCTGAAGCATCATCACTTCCATCTTCACGTCGAGACGAAGATTTTTGCGGCTGTTTGGATAGAGAAGAATCAACGTGCTGCTTTCCCGTCGAACGTGCCAAAGCGGTTGTTTTAGCCATGCTAGAACGAACTTGGGGCATTGAAGGGACCTCGATTGCAGTGGGCACAGCACCTCGCTCCGAGGGCACTTCCTGACTATGAGCATCAGCTTGATTGCGATGCCATGAATCTGATTTCTCTTTTGCAACCGGTGCAGGGGTAGGTGCCTTTTCTGAAGCTGCCGCCAGCATTTGCGTTTTGGGCTCGTCCTCCACTTCTACAATTTCGTCTTCAACTTCCTCAATCGTTTCTTCGCCTTCTAGAGTGTGCTCAAGGGTTTGCTCTTCGTCGATTGTTTCCTCGCCTTCAAGAGTATGATCTTCATGTTCTTCTACAAGAGTGTGCTCTTCCTGCTCTTCTTCCACAACAACTTCCTCTCCTTCCTCCTCCTCTACAAGGGTGTGCTCTGCATCCTCTTCAACCTCAAGAGTGCGCTCCTCCTGGTCTTCTTGCAAGGTGTGCTCTGTGTCCTCTTCAACGAGAGTGACCTCTTCGTTCTCTTCCACCAGAGTTTGCTCTTCTTCTTCAATGGTTTCATCGCCCTCAAGAGTGTGCTCTTCTTCTTCGATTGTTTCATCGCCCTCAAGAGTGTGCTCTTCTGCTTCTAAGGTTTCTTCGCCCTCAAGAGTCTGTTCTGTCTCGTCTCTCTCAAGTGTGACCTCTTCTTCTTCAATGGTTTCCTCCCCCTCCAGAGTGTGTTCTTCAGAGATCGTTTCTTCCCCTTCATGGGCAGACTCTTCCTCCACAAAGGACTCCTCAAGCACTTCCTCTTCTACAACATTTTCCTTCTCCAGGATCCTTCCGCCTGAACCAGCTGCTTCGTCAACAGGAGCCTCTCCCTGAACCGAGGCAGCTGGGGTGTCACTAACCTGACGAACTCCAGGAAAATCTCCGTCGTCCACAACCTCCTCCTCAGCAATTGCATTATCTTCTGCCAATCCCTCTACAGGGGCCGTGATCCGTTCCTCGGAGAGACCCTCGTTATTGCTCCTCTCCTCCAATGGTTTCTCCGACGGCACTGCATCTGTTAAGGCTTCTTCTGCTGTCTCATCCGACAGCTCCTCCTCTCCTTCTTCCATGATGTCATCCAACATGACCTGTTCAATTATTTCCTCTTCTGAGTCCTCCTCTTCCAATATCTCTTCCTCTACGGCTTCTTCTTCGATGATCTCCTCCTCCACAGCTTCTTCCTCTAAGATCTCCTCCTCAGAGGCTTCCTCCTCCAATATCTCCTCTTCTGAACCTTCTTCCTCCAAGATCTCCTCGTCAGCAGAGGCTAACTCTTGAGGTGGCAAAGCAACTGGTGTGGGGGCTGGAGCAGCCTGTAGGGGCATTGGTGCAGGGGTTGGGGCGCTTTTCGCTACTGGTGGCAAAGGAACTGGTGCTGGCGCTGGTGCAGCCTGCACTAGTGTGGGGGCTGGTGCGCTTTTTGCTACGGATGGCAAAGGTACTGGTGCAGGGGCTGGAGCAGCCTGTGCGGGCACTGGGGGGGGCTGGGGCATTTCTTGCCACATGTGGCAAAGGTACTGCTGCCGGGGCTGGAGCAGCTTACGGGCACTGTGTGGGGGCTGGTGCACTTTTTGCTACAGGTGAAAGGTCTGGTGCGGGTGCTGGTGCAGCCTGTAGGGCACTGGTGTGGGGGCTGGGGCACTTTTCGCTACGGGTGGCAAAGGCACGGGTGCGGGGGCTGGTGCCACCTGTGGCAAAGGCACTGGTGTGGGTGCTGGTGCAGCCTGTAGGAGAACTGGTGTGGGGGCTGGGGCACTTTTCGCTACGGGTGGCAGAGTCACTGGTGCGGGGGCTGGTGCCGCCTGTAGCAAAGGCACCGGTGTAGGGGCTGGTGTACGTTTTGCTATAGATGGCAATGGTACTGGTGTGGGGGCTGGAGGCCTGTAGGGCACTGGTGCTGGGGCTGGGCATTTCTTGCACATGTGCAAAGGTACTGGTGCAGGGGCTGGAGCAGCTCTGACGGGCACTGTGTGGGGGCTGGTGCACTTTTTGCTACATGTGGCAAAGGTACTGGCGCTGGTGCAGATTGTAGTGGTACAGGAGAAGGCACTGGGGCAGCCATTGCCTGTGGCGGCAATGGGACTGGGGCAGCACTGATCGCAACAGGTGGCAAAGGCATTGGAGCAGGGGCCAAAGCACTTTTTTGTGGCATTAGTGACGAAGGTGCAGGTGCCAAAGTTCGTAGCGGCACTGGGGCTGGTGCTTGAGCAATCATCGCGTATGGTGGCAACGGTACAGGTGCAGGGGTCAAAGCACTTTTTTGTGGCACCGGTGATAAAGGTACTGGCGCGGGGGCTGGATTACTCACCACTGTAGGTGGCAAAGGTACTGGGCAGGGGCAGCAGCAGTTTGTAGTGGCACGGGCGATAAAGGCACTGGAGCTGGCAATTGCAGTTTTTATGGGCACAGGAGACAAGGGCACTGTGGCAGGTGCCAAAGATTGTACGGGCACTGGTGAAGGAGCAGGGGCACTGATTGCTTGTGACGGCAAAGGGGCTGGAGCCGGGACTGACAAAGGTTGCAGTGGCCCAGGTGAAGGTGCCGGGGCGCTCACGGTTTGTGATAAGGCAGCATGCGAAGGGACTGGGCCCTTGCTTGCTCGGGGTGTAAGCGGCCCAGGTGTAGGGGCGACTTGAGCAGCGGATTCAACCTTTTGCTGTGATGTTGAGAGTACAGGCGCGTGTGCTGGTGCTGCGGCTGGAGAAGGTGCTGCCACAGTTTGAGAGGACGGGGCAGGCTGTTGCGGCAGCGGAACTTTCACGAACTCGCGAATTTCGACCAATGGGTCCTTCCTGAACGTGACTCGCTTCTTGGGCGATTTTGGTGTCGATGATGCCGACTTTGCCAGCTGGGCTTTTGTTTGCCCACTACTTCTTCGGGTGGGTGGAGGAATGCGCCCTTCGAGTTCGCTATCCACAACAAACAGTGGCGGTGGCTCGTCTTTCTTCTGTTGAGGCTGTTTCGGCTTCTTAGCAGGTTGTTCCTTTCGCACGGAGAGGAGTTTTGGTTGATGTGGCTCTGCCATGCTGGCTTCCGGGATAACCAATGGTGGCGGGGTTGCCTTTTCATCAGTCATTGACGGTGCTGGCATCAGCAAAGGCGGTATCAACGGCTCGACAGATGACATGTTTTGCGATCGTGACTTTCGTGTATTTTCCAGTCGGGGTGTTCTTTGTCCCTCCTCACTTTCTTCAGGCGCGGTGGAGGTGGTGGGGACGCAGGTCTGGGCTCCTCATCCTGCGATATGGGCCTGAACGCAGATTGTCGGCCCTGCCGTGGTGGAGTCAGCTGTATCGGTGCTGAACTTCGGCGAGCGGGTCCTGATGACCCGTCCTTAACAACAACGACGGGGGCCGACGCTCTCCTCCTGGATTTTCGCGAGAGCTGCTTTGCAACGTCAGCCTCCAATGTTAACAACGGAGGAGGTGCTTGTTTTCCACTCGTTGGTGCTTCGCCTTGTTTCAATTGGCGCGCAACCCGAAGCTGCAGTTTTTTCTCCGCAGGAGTTATAGCTGCTGTAGAACTCTTGCTTGGTAGGCCGGATGAATCAATGATTGGGACTGATGAACTCCTTGGAAACACCCGCCCCTGGGGCCTCGGTGTGGGCAGTGTAGATTTCTTCTTGGCCTGCGTGGCTTTCCTTGATGTTGTCGTTGTTGGCGTCGATTTGGTGGTGATGACCGGTTGTGATATAGTTGGAAGAGCAATATGGTCTTCGCTACTCGTCGACGAGAAGATAATTTTTGGTTCGCTGAATGTAGTTTGCGTCGAAGCTTCTTTCTGAAACATAGTTTGCGTGGCAACATCTTTGACGACCAGTCTTTGGATGGAGGATGTATTGGTTTGAGTAGCGGAATCGGTAACTGCTGTCTCCAATTCAGGTGTCTCAGACCCTGGATCAATGCTGCTTGCCTCCGAAGCAGGGGCTTGTGTAGTGGTTGTCTCAACAGCAGGTGGATCGGGAGTGGCTGTAGGCACCTCGGTTGTCTCCTTGACTGGTTCCTCCAGCACGGCTGTCAACGGAGCAGTGAAACGCCCCGAATAGCTGACCCATCCATCCACCAGCGGTTGCTTCCACCATGGCTGAGGGCCGCTGTCCTCTTCATCTACAGGCTCTGGGGGAAGCTGACTGGGATCGGTCTGGGAAGATCTTTCCTCGCTTGTCGGCTCCGGGGTAGTAGGTGCTAGTGAGGGTTCTGTCTGGGAACTTGATTCCTTGTCTGGGGCCTCGGGAGAGTCACCTGTTTGGGATTGAGCTGCTTGGGAAGGTGCTTCCTCGTGTTTGGCGGCCTCGGGTGAATCAGCTGTTTGCGATTGAGCTGCTTCTTCCTCGGGAGAATCACCAGTTTGCAATTCAGCTGCTTGCGATTGTGCTTCCTCGGGTTTGGCGGCATCGGGAGAATCTTCTGATTGTATTGGAGCTGCCTGTGAAGGTGCTTCCTCGGGATTGGTAGGCTCTGCTTGCACGACCTCCACTGCGCGGTCAGTCGGTTCATCGACGAGAATGGGGCGGGACACTGTCGCTCGCTGCGCTAGTATTCCACTTTCTTGCTTACTGGGTCCAACGCTACCACGATCGGAGTGCCCTGTAAAGAGCTTTTTTGTAGGCGGCCCTGGATCATTGTCGTCACCATCGTTACTAAACTTTTCAAAGACAACTTCTTGATCCCGTTCGGACAATTCATCAATATGATGGAAGCAGCTCATGTCAACAGCCAGATCTCTGTTTTGTGGCCCCGTGACGTATACACAATCGGCAAACAACCCCTCTCCAAAATAAATATCTTCCAGCTGATAAGACTGCACGGCATGGAAGGTACCTCTCGTTACCTGTTGATGTGCAAGACAGTGATAGAACAGTGAGAAGGTTGCGTGCCACGAATTCTAAAAACAACGGTGAAGCCCATAACGACTCAAAAGGAAAATAATATGTAACATCATACTCACTGGATCAATACCTTCAACGATGCAGATAACTTCTGAAATGTTGGCTTCAAAGTACTGCTTCAATTGAGGAAGACTCCAAGAGCGAGATTCGGTCATGGTTTTCTCCCATTCGTCCCAATCAACCTCTTGGTGGCTGCCAACATACGGGAAATCTTCATGTGATTCTACCATGTCTTGGTATTTGCCATGCTGAATCATGTTGTTGATTGTCTCGAATGGTTCTCCACATACAGGACAATACATGTCTTCTTCTTCCTCCAAGGTACTTTTGGTATTGACTGGCCCTTGTGGTTTGTCCATGGCAGGGACAACTCTCGGGTCTGGTGTCAGAGCACTATCGGCATCAATGGCATGCACCACCTCGCTGGGCAAACTGAGGAAGAGCAGAGATCCAATATCCTCGGCCGGCACGATAATGCGCAACGGCATGGGCACAGGAGATTTCTGTGTCACCACGTACATGGTACAGCTTGCCTGTACGACAGGATGACGAGTACCCGTTTCGTAGACTCGAATCTGAAAGCAAGGTGTTCGAACATCCTTGCGGTATCCGACAATAGCTCGATTGGAGAATAAAACATGAACACCAGAACGGCGTTGGCAGCTCAACAAACGCGATATAAATTTCCACAACTGAGCCGACCAGTCTTGGCTGCGAACTTGCACTCGACTTCTGCTTTGATAATTGGGTCGATCGCGTTTGATCAGTCGAGGTTTACCCTTGAAAACGGGTTCACTATCCGTTCTTCCTCCTGAAGTACCGTTAGCAGCAACATTGGATCGTGATCGGATGGTGCCTGTATTATTCAAGCCGCCAGTATCCCGGGATTCTCCCGTCATAATGGTTGGAGGTTCAGAATTCGAGGGTAGCCTGACCAACATGTCTGGCTCTGGCTCTTCTGGCGGTTCGCCTGGAACAGCAGGACGCGAGTTAGGCGATGTCGAGGACACCATTGCCGCTTTCTTGCACTTGTTGCCTCGCCTTGATAGATGTATGCCTTGAGAAAGATTGATGTCCTAGATAGAAATTCGATCCAATCGAACCAACGGGTCTTTCTCTTGGTCGCTGTTTGCTTGTTGCTTTTCAAGCAGCTTGTTCTTCTTGTTTCATCACGCTTTTCTTTCCCACCAAGGCATTGGTACCGCACCGGCTACTTGATACTACTACTACTACTACTACTAGCAGGGTACTATACCAACCCAAAGCCATTGACATCACAATCGAATTATTGCGTTCGCTGATTCTCGTCGAGGTGCCTGTTGACGCTTGTATCTAAATTCGGCAAGAGCACTTTTTTGGATGAGGGTTGGAGGGATTAGCAGTACGCAGTACCGTACGGAGGGCTTCCATAAATCCTTTTAGACGTCACGACACCTTTTCAACCAGAAGAAGAGTATCTTTCGTTTAGAATATTCTTGTCCCTAACATAAAAAACCATTTTCGAGCCATTAGAGCTGAGTAACAATTTTCAAGCCCAAGTTCGTCTCCTTGAAGGACCAACCCGACTTCTGTCCCTGTTGCATTGTTCCGAAAGGTGTAGCGCTGGGCTGTGTTTACTCTGACAATACCGCAGCTGATACAGTGTTGGTAATTGGTAGTTGGCAGTTGGCAATCAAACAATAGCTATGGGTAAATTCTACTTAGCACTTAGCACAATAAGCGGGAAGTCGACGGACTTCGTTCAGGCTTTCACTTTTCAACAATGTAGATGCAGCCGAAGCAGAGCAAGAGACAGTACTGCTAACTAGCTAGCTACCAGGTACCGGTAGCTGGAAGACAGTGTATCTCCAGCGTACAGAAGTTCGAGGGTGCTGGAGGCTTGGTTCGTCTCGTCTCTACTGAGTAACCTTTTTCAAAGGTCGTTATCGCACCGCAAAGAGCTTCTGGCAACGGGTGCAAGTACGGTACTCGTGAAGCCACATCTTGTGGCGCGTCGAGAACAGCGTAGAATGCACCAGAAAGATTGAAGTGCCGTGTGTCAGCGTGTCAGCACCGCCGATGATGTTTCGTCTGATTGCTCTGTTAATTAAAATGCGAACCGGAAGCTTCTCAGCATCTTGGTTCACGTTGAAGTTCCGCCTTTCCTTCCGTTTCCAAACGTCCACACCTTGAACTCGGAGTATTAGCTTTCTGTGGTCTACGTGGACAAAGAGGTGCAACTATTACCGGTACATGTCTAGTACGTACGTACGATAGGGTAGGGTGATTTGTCCCTCACAAATTTTCACTTAGGCTAAGTGTGTGTAAATCCGCTTAGGCTAAGTGGATTTACGTGAATCACTTAGACTAAGTGTTCGACTTAGCCTAAGCAAAACACTTTGGCTAAGCGATACACTTAGGCTAAGTGATGCTCTCCGAGACATCTTCTCAACAGCACAAGTCCCTGCAGCTTGTTGTCTATACACAAACTCTGTATTACTGCTGATCCTCATTCACAATAGAAACTATATTGCCAGCAAGTGCTTTGGGGCTATGCAATGAGGGAATGGTGGCCACACCAAATGCACAACTAATGACCAACAACTCTCAGATGGTAGGCAAATACACTGAACATGTATTTGGAAACATCGGGAACATCCAAGATTTTGCAAGAAAGCAACATCATTTGTACATCGGAATGGTACAACTGTACCCACAACTCCTGAGGAGTACTTTCGGACTTCCAGGTGCCCTGGAACCGTAATAATTCTCAATCGTCCAGAGTCTCTCTTTGCACTTTTTTGTTGTTGCGTATTTACATTATAGCCAAGGGTGGAAGCCAGATTAATAGTATGCTGCCATGGATGGATGGTACCATCCTCCAGGGAAGTTGCAACCTGAATCTGAATCTCTGTTGTAACCCAATTAAACTCTTTCATGCGAAGCTCTTTGAGCAGTTCATTAGAAGCTGAAAGTGGGGGCATGATGGGTGATAGTTGTGTCTCGTTGTGTCTGTGTGTGTGCTTGCTGCAGGGACTTGTGTTGTGCTGTTGAGGAGACTTGTGCTATTGAGGAGATGCCTCGGAGAGCATCACTTAGCCTAAGTGTTTCGCTTAGCCTAAGTGTTTTGCTTAGCCTAAGTGAGTTGCTTTGTATGGCTTAGCCTAAGTGTATTGCTTAGCCTAAGTGTATTGCTTAGGCTAAGTAACACTTAGCCTAAGTGGATTTTCGAGCACTTAGCCTAAGTGAAAATTTGTGAGGGACAAATCACGCTACCCAATGTACTACTAGTACAGTGCGGTAGTCTACATGTAGCCACCGTAAGTAGTGCAGACGGGGTGGTCTTAGGATTCGATTGAATGAGTGAATCGAATCGAATCGAATCAATCGAGTTGACAGATGAAAGAACATGTGCTTCTTTTTAGACATTAGAGCAGTCAATAGCGTAATATGTACTTGGCATTTATTTGAATCCCGGCAAGACCTAGGCGGCATTGAAAAGACACCCAAGAGACACATCCCTTAGATTTGCGTCACTTGGTAAATTTGCTGTTTAACCACTCAATAGCTAGATATGCATTTCGCAAATAAACCAAGTCTTGGATCTTAAATCTTCCGATCCCAAATGGAACGATCCTGTGAATGCCTTGGAAGCACTGGACCTCTGTGGAAACTCGAGTCGTGCTATTGATCGTCTCCTAAATCCTTTTTTCGTCTCCTATTTAATGGATTTCGTCTCCTAAAAATAGGTGACGAAACGGATCGTCTCTTAAATCTTTCGTCTCCTCTTAAATCGTCTCCTATTTCCAACGGATCGTCTCCTATTCTCAACGGATTGTCTCCTAAGTGTACTGTGTAAACTGTATGGTATCGTCTCCTAAATCTTTCGGATCGTCTCCTATTTCGAAACGATCGTCTCCTAATTGGAATGTCTCCTGCTGAATCGTCTCCTAAATATAGGAGATGATTGCTTTCGTCTCTTAAATCATTTCGATCGTCTCCTATGCCTCGGTGTATCATCTCTTAAGTATGTTTCCACGAATGACGTTTCCACAGAGGTCCAGCGCATGATTGCAGCAACGACATTTCTTTGTTGCTGTCGTCGTAGCTATCGGAATGGCCAAGTTGTGTTGCCTCAACCATGGACGATACTACATTCCAGTTAGTTGCGGCTACCTGTATAACAGTAGCAGTGGCTGGTGCATTCCTGGCTATGTTGGACGTTTCGGATAATGAAGAAGAACCCCAAAACGATGAGACTGCACGGACAGTTGCAGCTTCACTTCCAGCATTGCGCCACGTGAGAAAGCGTGAAACTGAGAACGAAAATGAACAAGGCAAGAGGAAGAGAACCAAGTATGACTACCAGCGAGCTTACAACTGCTATGCAGGATTATCTTGTGCCTGATTCCCCCTTTCGCCAAATATTTTGAGAGAGTTTTTTGCGTGACAAGACCAATTGTGGAAAATCTGATTCAAGTCGCGCTGTTTCAGGGGAGATTCGACAATCGCAGTGGCAAGGTTTTTTAAGCAATTCCTGCCTACCCGAGTCATTACTCATCTGGAAATAGTCCATGAATGCAGTTGAGGCGGTATCATAAGCCATTAGCTTCAAGCTCATGAGAACTTTTGCTTCTGGATATATGCCTGATTCGCCTGTAACAGAACTGACATGGTGAATAAAGAAGCCACTGTGATTTTTGAAGAAGATGATTCGTTATGATGCCACGAGAGTTTCCGAAATGCATTTTGAAGAAGAGATAGGTGTTCATGGATGTATTAGCGCTCTTGACTGCATGCATGTGGAGTGGAAAAACTGTCCAGTTGCATGGCATGATCAATTTGAAGCGAAGGAAGGATTCCCATCCATTGTGCTGGAAGCGGTTGCTGACAATTCACTTTGGATATGGCATGCTCAGTTTTGTTGGCCAGGAACACTGAATGATATCAACATCTGGGACCGCAGCGCTCTATTGCGATCTTTCCTTGATAGAACTTACAAGCGAGATGTGGTGCAGTGGACTTTCCATTTTTCATTGGAGAACAACAATTCAATCGCCTTTGGGTTTTGGTTGATGGAATTTATCCAGAATTGTCTCGCTTTGTGAAGACGCTCTCTGTTCCATTAACCAAGCAAGAGAAGACTTATTCCAAATGGCAGGAGGCGAAAAGAAAGCTGGTTGAAAGAGCATTTGATATTTTACAAAGGAAGTTTCAGTGGTTGTGTCGACCGATAGAGTTGTTCTTTGAAGAAGACATCCGGACGATTGTAGAGGCTTGCATTATTCTACACAATATGATGGTTGAAGTTAGGATCGACCGAGAACAAGAAGAGTCAGGTGACTGGTACCATGAACCGCTTATTGAGGAGCTGGACGGTCCTGGCTGACCACCCTCTTGCTGGTGACGGTACTGCTCAGAATGCAAGAATGCCGACTCCAAGAGAAAAGTCAATGAATATTCACTGGATTCAAAATGGCGCTGCTACTGAGGAAGAAAGAGAAAAGTATCGATCTGCTATGAACAATCATTTCGATCTTTTACAGGATCAATGGGACGATCTCTACAATGGCGACCATCATGTGCAGTTGTGTCAAGCAATCATTGAGGCGGTAAACAAATAATTAGACTTAAGCTTCATAGATGAATTCATTGGTCACCTCAGCATCGGCATCATGAGCTTTCTCTTCTTTGATTTGACGTTGCATCTCCAGACGTTCTTGCTTCTCACCAGGACTTTCATTGGCAGTAGCAATCACAGCAGGAACAACCCTGTCAATATGTACAGACCCATCTGAGCCGGTATCGCTGGTCAAAGAAGAGGTCACACTGGACAACTTCAACGTCTTCTTCGCATTCTCTAACTTAATGCGCTTAAGACGCTGTTTCATGATTTGCTTCGCAAAGTCACGGCGAGACTGAGGAGAACAGTATTCCAAAATCTGTTGGTCGTTCCTGTCGGCGATGCTTCTGGTAAGAAGATCCAAGTCGTTTCCCATCTTCTGCATAAAGATTTCCTTGTTCTCTCTGTGCGACTTTTCTGCGCTCTTCTCTTCTGTAATCTGGAGGATGTTCTTCACCATCTCTTGATCCTTCTTTTCCTGCTTGCCTTTCTTGTGTCCACCCGGTCTTGGTTTGCGCTTCTTGGTTTTGCCTTCCAATTTCTTCTCAAAATCAGCCCACTTGGGGCTTGCCTTCAAAACTTCTTTGCAGCAAATGATACAGTCCACCATGCCGCCACCCTCCTTGCCATGCCACTTGAGGAAAGTCTGCTTGATGTTCTCCAAGAAGACAGTATTTGCTAGAGCTGGCTTCTGCTTTTGGGGAGCTTCACACCCTCCTTGACCTTCACATAGCACTGGTTGACTGCCTCAACAGTTGGCGCAATTCCCTCCCATTGCTCCCCAACCCCCAGTGGGATGCCACCCTTACCCAACTTATTGTCTCCCAAGACCAGATCGGATGGAAGAACTTCTTGGAAGGTCTACCCTCCATTCATTTTGTCCAGTATATGGATTCCTTCTACAGACGAGAGGGATACTCCATCACTGGTACCACTTGGACGTCCAAAATCCTTCACAAAACTCACATGATGGCTTGGAGCTTATGGGAACATCGGAACAAGATTCTACACGACGACCAAAAGCCCCGTCAGAAACAAGCCCTCAACCTGTTACACCAAGCAATTGCCAATGAGTACATCAAGGGTACCAGGGGACTCCCCTCCTGTTATCACCATTGCTTCAAACACTCACTCATTTCCCTTCTCACAAAACCAAAGTCCTACAAACAGTCCTGGCTTCAAGGGCTGCACACTGTCCGCAATAGAGAAACTAGACTTGCCCACCAAATCACTGAGGACAGAAGGAATTCCAGACTCTATCAGTGGTGTGCCACAGGACGCCTCTAGCTTCTCCATCACTTATCCCTTGAACCACCTCAGAACCAACCCAATCTGTCTTTTCATAGACACCATTAGCACATGGCCTTAGCGTGCCATACCCCAAAGAAAGCCTTCGCGTGCATTACCAAAGAAACAACAATCTTGTATGGAACATCTTTAGGGGCCTTAGCGAGCCCATAACCCTTCTACTTGAACAGGGGGCCAGTAGTGCCCCCTGTCATTCTGAGTGAAGTAAAAGCAAGCCCTCGGCGCAGTAGCAAAATAATACCTACTAATCATTGTGACCAACCAACCAACAGTATTATCATTGTCCCCTGATGGCGGATCTCCAGCATTGTCCTCAACACTCTTGTATTTGAGAACAAGCTTTGAGATCTTGCGCAAAATTGAGTAAAATTTGAGTGGCCTTGCGGGGAGCGAAGCTTGTTCCATTCTTGTTGTTGAATTCTTCCAACAGCAACTTGTACTTGGCAAAGAACTTCTCCTGGAAATCAGCAGATGTTTGATCTGTGCCATCAACACTGTCTTCACTAGCAGCAATGAAACCTTCACACAAGAGAAGACACTCACTTTGGGTCCACTTTGGACCGCGACTGCTGCCATTTGTCGCCATCCTTCTTGACAGCAAACAACAACAATTAGCAACTTGTCGGTGACCTGCACTCAAAAAGGGGTTGGGACTGCTGCCGACTTCAGAATCTGGTCCTTTGATTTGCTGCTCTATGAGAGCGAGCGATGATAACAAGATTTATCGGACCCGGTTGATCTATCTGCCTGCCAGTTCGATCGGATTTCCATTGGACGATTCATTGGCTGGATTCATGCCAATAGAACGGGCAGACAGACTTTTGGTTGGCTTTTGGCTGTTGGGCAAATGGGTCCTATTTGCCCAATGATTACAGCTCATGCAAATCAATTTCAGAATTTGTGACGTAATTTGCCTTTTGCCCTCAATTTTCGAAAGTGCTATTGACTGACTTTCTAGGCAAACCTAATTTGGTTTGCATTTGCATGCTTGGCTATTGACTGCTTTTAGAGACCTAAGTTGAACACCTTCCTGGACCCTCTTCCAAAATCCATGAACCTTCCTATTTTGCATGCTTAGTTCTGACCCATAGCAATTGATTTATTGTTATCAGCATTGCAATTGTTGCGCAACTTCAAGCTCATCAATGATGCACAATCACGCAGGTGGACAATACAGCAAGCAAGATTCTCAGAACGCTGTTAGCTGGCAGTAGCATATGATCCTTTGTTAGCTTGGTGCTGGGCAAATGTTGGCAATCAGCATTTGGTAGTCGTCAACTTTCGTCCACTGAATTGGTAATTCCAGTGCGTGCAGTGTCTTTATGTGATTACCAGCACAATCGGCTTGTGATCCAGGTTCCAATTCATAATCAGCTTCAGAGTCGACTTCAGCTGACAAACTATAGTCAATCAGTTGCCATGAACCTGTGAATTGGACAAAGTTGCTCCTTCGCAAATCGCATTGCAAGATTCCAGCCGAATGAGCCAACTCAAGTGAATTGACAAGGTCGGAGCATACTTTCGCGGGCAAGGCTTCTTCTGTTTTAAAACACTTTTGCGCAGTTGTGATTCCTCTTCGCATTATGATAGCCCCGCCCTCCCCCTCCACCGTATCAAAAGAACGATCCCACTAATAATGTCCAGATGATTCGTATTGAACACCTGTTACCCACCCGCTGATAGTTGCAAACATTGTAGCGTCGCCGATCTTTGGTACAGAACCCAGTGCGTAGAAGTCACTTCTCGGTCCAGCCTTATCAGCGATCTTTTTCAGAGCTTCGCTCTCGACCTTAAAAAGGTGGAATCGTCACGAATAATTTTGACGGCATATGTGATGCTTGACAATGCTACGTCGGGCACCTCCTGAATTATATTCTTGTGGAACTGTCACACCGTAAACGATGGATTGCGATTTTGCAAGAGCTTTGATACGGCAGCACCAGGTTGTCACTCCAATCTTGTTCATGGAAGAGCATAATGTTGCACCATCATCAGACAGGAAAAAGCTTGGGTCTTTAACCGCCAAATTGGTGATGCGCATCCACAAGTTTCCCACATCTTTGTGCGGAACTCGATCCACCCACAATGTTGGTTTCTTCATTGGGTCGGTCTGATGTATGACAAGGAACCAAGCTGATCTCCCTGTCACAGCAAAGGCAAATGCCATCTTCAAGAACCCCTAGATTGTTAATTCTTGCGACTACTCTTTCAACCGCTTGTTCGAGTACTTTGTAATCGATCTTGGCCAGATTATTGCTTTCGCTTTTGTCAGATTTAATCTCAAGATCCATTGGTGCTATTTTGGATGTTCCATCAGGTTTTGCAGTTTTGGCAGACACATTGTGGTTTCCTAAAACTTTGGTCGCTGGCTTGAAAAAGGGGCCATCCGCGGTCGTGGTAGAAAGATCCATGGCGTTGGCGGGTTCGATATTGAAGAAGTTTTCTTGCAGGTGACCTTTTTGGAATGTGTGTTCTCAGTCTCCGCACGGAGCTTGAGAAAATCTAAATCCTTCAGCCCGGCACCATCAATGCCTTCCAGTGAGATGCCCAACCTATCACGAAATAAGCCCGAGATGTCTTGATTGACTTCAGAGTCTTGGATTTTACTCTGCAAGTCCCTAGCGCTACCGACGCCATCGCCGCACCACTGGGTGGTAAAACCCGATTCCGCAATCGCCTCCGCCAGACTCGCCAAAGCTGATCGACTCGGATTGGCCTTGGAGCCTGGTGTTTCCTCATCATCGACCCCATCGATGCCCCCCGGGGGGGGAGTCCCGTGGAGTTCTAAGCACTTTTTATGCCAATGTGCTTTGTCAAAAGATGGAGCGTTATAGGAATCAGCAGCAAACCCAAGACTATGGAGAAAGGAACGAAAGTCGTCGCTAATTCTGTCCCAAGGGGTTGTCATGATCTTCTTCTCTTGCTTTGATGCCGTTCTTTCGGGTGTTGCAGTGGGTGGTGTTATCGCACAGGTTGTGGGTGGGAAGGTGGAAGTCCTCAAGCAAGTTCCATGTCATTGCATCCCTTTTTTTGAATTGATTGCAGTTCAGTTGACCAGTACATACTGGGCAGACCCCGGTGATCTCTGACCCCGTTTATATACCGGGCAGACCCCGGTGATCTCTGAACACGTTTATTGTGGTGGTGGTTGGTTGGTTTTGGTTGGTTGGTTATCCTTAGGGTTAGAGTTTATCTAAAAACGAAGCCTCCTCTTGGGCCCCCACATTTCATACACATTCTCTTTTATAGCAACGGATCCTGAATATTTTCCTCAGATTTGCACACCTCTAAACTCCCGTAAGCTACCACGCCACTTTCTCAGATGGAAAAATCGAACGTCTCACGTTGCACATCTCTAAACTTCCGTAAGCTACCACGCCTCTTTCTCAGACGGAAAAATCTAACGTCTCACGTTGCACACCTCTAAGCTGCCGTAAGCTACCATGCCTCTTTCTCAGATGGAAAAATCTAACGTCTCACGTTGCACACCTCTAAGCTCTCCCGTAAGCTACCACACCACTTTCTAAAATGGAAAAATCTAATGTCTCACGTTGCACACCTCTAAACTCCTGTAAGCTACCACGCCACTTTCTCAGACAGAAAAATCTAATGACACTACCTTCAGCCAACTTCAACAATATTACTATGCCGGCCAATCTTTTAAGTCAGCTCGCCCGGTATATCTATTACACCTCCGGTGTCCTTTATTGTGTATTGTGGTGGTCGTTTGGTTGGTTTTATTTTTATTTTGTTGGTTGTTTATCCTTATGGTTAGAGTTTTCTAAAAACGTTATCCCAGTGCCCCTTGGGCCCCCAAATTTCCTACACATTCTCTTAATAATAATCGTAGCAACGGATCCTGATTATTTTCCTCACACTTGCACACATCTAAACTCCAGTAAGCCACCACGCCACTTTCTCAACGGAAAAATTTTACGTCTCACGTTGCACACCTCTAAATTCCCGTAATTTACCACGCCTCTTTCTCACATGGAAAAATTCAACGTCTCCCGTTGCACACCTCTAAACTCCGGTAAGCTACCACGCCACTTTCTCAGATGGAAAAATCTAACGTCTCATATTGCTCACCTCTAAACTCCCGTCAGCTACCACGCCACCTGCTCAGACGGAAAAATTTAACGAAACTACCTTCAGCCAAACTGCAACAATATTACTATGCCGGCCCATCTTTTAATTCAGCTCACCCGGTATATCTATTACACCTCCAGTGTCCTTTAGTTGTAGTCTTGTTCGGGAATGGTACCGGTATCATGTGTTTGCTGGTAACGGATGGTTAACCATGCAGACATGCGTTCAGCGTGGGAACGACCAGGAGTGACCAAAACCGCAAAATGTCGACAATTTCCCATTCAAATTTTACGTGAAGTATCGTGCGTACGTGGTCGTGAAGTCTGACATGCGAACTCCTTACTACAGATAGACGAAGCTTCCGGTTGCAAGAGAGCGAAAAGAACCGGTCTTTAACCGATAAAAACCTAGTGAAAGCAAGCAAGCATAAATAATTAGGTTTTTTCGCATGGCAAGCATAGGACAGTTTACCAGCTTGGATTGGAGACTGAAACTGGAAATTGGGCTCGGGGTGAGAGGAGTAGTCCTATGAACATCATTATTCCTCCATGATCGAGAATAAAAGGGCCCGAAATTAGGATTTTGAGAATCCAATTAAATTGATCAATTCCAATCCAAAATATGAAATCAAAACCTAAATATAAAACCGAAACCTAAATACAAAACCGAAACCAAATTACTATGGCAAATAACTAGTAAAATCAAGCTGAAACCTAAATATCAAATCGAAACCTAAATATAAATCGAAACCCAAATATAAAATCGAAACCGAAATATAAAGCAGAATTACTTGTAAATCGCGATTTCGGGCCCTTTCAATCATGCTACATGCCTACGGTAGTAGACGCCTAGCTTAGTGATGTGCAAATACGTGTTGGGATTTTGGATACGTATTATACGTATTATACGTTTAATACGGCGTATTATACGTATTGGACTTTGAGTCATGATCTACTGTTGACTCATCTACTTGCAGTACTCATGCCTGCTCCAGTGGTTCTCACCACTTTTCTCACACCATATTACCTACCATCATCACATCTGCTTCAAATAGCTTCCAACATATTGCATTGCAAAGTTTAGGACCAGGAAGTATGGTTACCCAAAGCCAACCAACACCCAACAAACCATGTAATACAGTAAATACAGTAAAATACGAAAAATACGGTTCAATACAGTATCAATACATTAAATACCGTATTTTATGTATGTATTAAGATTCAGGAGGGGGTGTATTATACGTATTATACAAAAAATACAATACGCGTATCAAACCCCTGCACATCACTGGCCTAGCTAGCTAGTAGTACATCTGCCTCCGAATGAATCGAATCGAATCGGCTCATGCATTAATTTTGCGGTAGCCAGCTACCGGTAGATCCAAAAGTAGATCTAGCTAGAGCTATGCATAGCTCCGTGTTACGTTGTACAGTCGTACTGTAGCAACTGGCTTACGATTGCAGAAACTGTCCGCAACTGTTTACCGTCAGAGATTTCCACCAACCAGAACAGAGTTTTCTGGAGAAGTTCCGATGGTGTTGCGAGAAGGAGCAAACATCAATAAACCACACAAGGTGTCTCCAAGATGCCTTCTTGCAGCGCTTCTTTGTAAAAGACCAAAGGTGTCCGATTTGTCGAGTCTACTGTACGCAAAAATCCGATTTTCCGTAAGCTGTGAGCATGCATGTGCATACTTCGAGTCAGGGGGGTGGAGGATGGAGAAGTCCCTACCAACCACTACCGTACATATTAATAGTGCACAAGGTTGTCAGCCTTGCTTTTCCTAACAAACACTGCTCAATATTTCCCAAAACATTGGTGCCATTTTACCACTGTCTACGTTAGTCTCTTTACCGCTATCACTAGCTAGCTAGTAGGTCTACATGTATCTTCTTCCACAGATTTTTGTGATGTTTATCACTGTGATTTCTGAGCCACTGCTTTCTTGCACTTCCAAGCACTGTTTAACACTGTGTTGGGTTGTGCGGTGATTGGAGAGATGTATGCTGTCGGCACAGCTTTCCAAAACCAGTTTTTCTCCATCCTCCCAATTTGCTTGAAGATTTAGCAGCGAACTTGTTGGCTGGCAAGATGGTAGTAGCGCACCATCCATATGCTTTTTTGTGTACAGACTTACTTACTAGATCTAGTACATGTACTTCTTACTTGGCCTCAGGCCTCAGTACCGGTACTCAGTACTCCGAGTGCGGAATTGCCGACCCAGGAGTTGCAGTTGATCTGGCTGGTATTTCCAGCTGGATTGAACAACATTCAAAAGAGGTTCTCATTGGTAAGTTTTGGGTGTTATTCAATCTTAGAGTATAATAGTTATCGGGCAACCTGTGACGTTGTCGCTTTCTAGCATTCACTCGCTCTGAACCAGCACGCGTTCTAGCTAGCTAGCAGCCGAAAGCTCACCAACCGAAAGAACTCTGAGCGAGAGCTTCTGAGAGTTTGTTAATACCAGTGAAGTCCGAGCTATGCATAGCCAACGGGACTTCAAGCTAATAGACTACATGTACGTGGTAGTTACTCTGCGTAGAGTCTTCTGAGAGCTCTTCTGAGCTATTATTATTTTTATTATTAGCTAGTAATACTTCAAAGAGTCTCAAGAAAGGATGGAATGATGGAACATGGAACATTTGCGCGCGATTAGGCCTTTAAGTCATCGCGTAAACATTTGCTTGTGGGGTTCACAGTTGTTATGTTTTCGTGCCCTCGTGCTCTTCCGATTCTCTAACGCGTTCATGTTTCTTGCACTTAACTCCCAGTTTAAGGACAGCCTTTCGAGTTTGCCGCTTGGCTTCCACCTCAATCTCCAACCACAATGACCACCATCCTGTGATCTGTGATGAGCCTCAGTACATAGCTGTCTCATCAGTAAAGAGTACAGTAGCCATTGTGGTCGGGACCATAATTTCTAAAGGTTTCGTTTCCAATCTCTGCTTAGTTTTTCTCTCATTCTATCCTTCTCCTCTTCAAGCTTCAAACCATTATCCCACCAAACCATGAGTTCCATCAATGACGAAAACAACATCGCTGTGGAGCATCTGCTCCTAGGACGACCAAATGAAGCCTCCGCGACACTCATCAATGCTCTGGATCAGTACAAGAGAACATGCTCAAGCATCGATGGTTTACAAGCTCAGCTAGGACAGGTTGATAACAGAAATGACTTGGATACCTTCCTCTACAGCGTGGAGATGACTGATGAGATCAATGAATCTGCTCAGCCTGTATTGCCCTTTGCATGGTATGGTCGTCCCATCGCCATAGCTGCCCCCGACGACGAAACCATTGACGAAGACGCCGCAGACGCAATCATCGTCGGCCCGGAAGTCACAGTAGCCTGTCTCCTGTACAATCTAGGTATTGCCTTTCAACTCGAATGTGCTCAGTCTGCTATTGTCAACCAGGCCGAAGAGAATGCTGCTTTCCCGCCCGCTCCACCAAGACGTACCCACCAAGACGCTCTACATGTGTACATGATGGCTCTACAAGCACTACTGTCGCTTCCGCCTCAGCGGACAGCACAGCGGAATACCATAAGTGAACGTCTCAGCCTGGGGGTGTTGCATTTGGCCATTGCGAACAACCTTCTCTACGTACACGCCCAGCTCATTGACATGGACGGTGTCAAGACCTGCTTGGCTGTGCTTCGCGATGCCCTTGCCAGAATCTGCCATGGTTTGCCACAAGAACACATGGAAGAATTTTCCTTCTTCCTCAAGAACACCCTCCTCTTTCCAAGCAATTATGGTAGCACGTTCAGCTTGCCATTGGCTCCTGCAGCCTAACTCTTCCACTCCATTGTATACACACACGCAAGACTAAACCAGCCACTGCAAGGGGAATGAGCTGGCTGATTCATGATTCCAAGGGATTACCTGTAGATGCGCCGCATAGCTTTCAGTTGGACCGTCGTTGAAACCCATCATCACCACCAAGAGAAGAGTTGGCAAACAAGACATCTGATACCGTACAACAGACGCCTGGAGAGGAACACCTGACTACAAATACTCTTCTATTGTCTACTTCTTTCTTCTTTACACTGCATACAATACAATATAGTTTGAAACCCATGTACATAACATAAACCAGATCAGAATTATTGCATCTATCACTACTGGGAACAGCGCGGACGGAGACAGCAAGGGGAAATAACTATCTGGGCTTAACTGGCTTACCCCTATCGCGATAGTGAGCTTGCTGGGCGAGGAACGAGCGACGGCTCTTGCCCCACGCTTCGTCCTCGTGGTCTTTCTATCGAATGCAACCTGCATTGGGGGTTCATGCAGTATGCTGGTGTTGAATCGGATTGAACCATTCATCACTACTGGTAGACTAGTCGCTAGTAACGGCTTGGATTGAGTCCGTCGATCACCCATTCCCCTCCCTTGGTAGGTAGAAGCCAGAGAGCCGACGCCCAAGAAACTTCTGAATCGAGCGAATCCCAGGTGGGCGCCGCAATTTACTTGTTGGACCGGTGGTACCTTGACCTGGACCGGTACCCTGTCATTGTCCTGCCACAATACAGGTACAATGACTAAATCGAATCGGTACAGTGTACCACCTCAGTACCGATCCTACAGCAAACGTCGATGAACGGACAGTCGACAGCCATGCATCAAAAACATCAAACTTCGAAATTGAGGAATTAACGCTGTCATGCCGGTTGACACCCTCCAAGATGCGACCGTGCATAGTGCTCTGTGTGTGCGTGTTTGCTTGGTCCTTGCCAGTTCCTGCAGTGTCCAGGAAGCTGATACGGTAAAGGATAGATATGATATACTAGCTAGCTAGCTAGTAGTCGTTATCAACCATCCAGTTTCAGCAATTCTTTCTTTCTCAATTGTTGCTTCCCAAACATCCTCTCTAGCCAGCTTGCTTGCACATTACCACCAGTATCCGCTCAGATCCTCGAGCCAAGCGATCTTTGAAAGGCCTCGCCGTCCGTCCACTGCTTGGGAACATGCTTTGGAAATGAAACAGGTTTGATGGATCGATCTCAAACAGCGCAACTGGCTTTTTATAAAGTCGAAACCCCGGCAACCAAGGTGGTACAGTACTGAGTACATGTACTACTAACTAGCTAGCCAGCTAGCAGCTAGCTAGCTAGCTAGCTAGCTAGTACCGGTACCGGCACCAGGAACCGGTACTGTACACACACCTCAACCACCAAGCGGCTTGTGACCTGTGGCATCCAAACGAACAAGAAGGAGCTGTCAATTTGACTTGCTGCATGACGCGGCTGATGTGATACTTCTTTTCACACATCTCATTGATTGATCACACATCTTTTTAACAGTGAAGGTGAAGAGGAAATGTAAAGAACAACATAACATAACACAACACAAATCAAATCAATCAAACGCAATGTCGATGGTTCGACAAACAGCCGGTCGCAGAGCCACTATTCGGGGTTGTCAATTCTGCCAAAGACGGGCAAGAATCATCCCCTTGGTGGATCCTGTTCGTTTTTTTGCCTCGTCGAAAGAACCCGCAGCCCCACCTCTTCACCTGACACGCCCAGAACCACTACGCATCAACGAAACAAACTTGACAATGCCACCGCCACCTTCCCGCGCCCAGCTTCGTGCCGTCATGATCCAAGCTGGGTTGCCCATGGCGGGCTTTGGTTTTATGGATCAAACCATTATGATTCACGCGGGCAATGCTATCGATTGTACCATTGGTGTCACGCTTGGCTTGTCCACTCTGGCAGCCGCGGCGGTGGGGCAGATTGTGGCCAATGCGGGTGGCATTGTCTTTGGTGAAACTCTGCAGCGTTTCTTTGCTCGGTGTGCCTGGATTCCCACAAACGCAAACTTGACGGCGTCTCAATGCTCCATGAAAGCAGTGGAACGGGCTCGTTTCGTGGGAACATTTCTGGGTATCTTGGTAGGATGCGTGGTCGGTTTGGCCAATCTACTCTTTATTGATACGGATTGGACTCGAGAACAAAAGCTAATCCAGCATCCTTCTACTAGTACTGTTCCCGAACAGAAGTTCCCCTTTCAAATCCATGTCAGCAATAATCATTCGTTGTCGGACAAGCATCAGCCTGCTACAACCTTGACAATTTGGGGCCCTGATGTGGATGGGATACTGGCAACCATCCTGACCGCACTCAAAGAGGAAGGGTATTCCGTCTTGGAAATGAGTGCCAGACCCAAGCAGCAACCAGAGACCAACCGTGACAACAGCCCCGCGAAGGACAAAGAGACCAATGCCGCTCGCTATTACGAAGACATCTTTGTGGTCCGCCGTCGTGGAGAAGCGATTCCTGAAGAGGAACTAACTCTTCTGACTCAGAAACTACTTCAGGAAAAGCTTCTTCCTCAAAACTCCCAGCATCCTAAGCACGCCTGAGTAGGCTGCAATACCGGATACATCATGCATTCACTATCGATTAGAAGCACAGGAGACACCGTGCAACAACACAAAGACAAACTCACTGAGTCACTGTATCCATTCAAAGTAGAAGCAATTATACCCCTGTTAGATTTTAAAAGCTATATAGAAGCTGCATCGCTTACCGTGGGGCATGTGCCGTATGTACACGTACAATCAGGTATCAGGTGAGGTCAGGGTTGTTGCGGTCGAGATATCAAGCACCTAACTAGCTACGTCCGTGAACTACCAACCAGCTTCAAGCTACAAGAACAAGATATACCCTTCATTGACTTCATGTAGCTCTTCTGGTACCCATTCTCGTTTGGCAGTAAGACTAGTTTTTGAAACTAGACGATTTAATTAATCATTCCTCTGAGAAAAGGTGTCTTGAACCCAAGCCAACACCTGCTCAGTACTTTGACTAACCAGATCTCCTTCATCCCAGGGACAGCCATTCTCAACTGCATATTTGAGTACATCGAGGTGGCCATTGAAAGCCGCCGTGTTGCATGTTTCTTCCTCCCATGGACAACCATTCTCATGGGCATATTTGAGTTCATCTAGATGGCCATTGCTGGCAGCATTAGTGCATGTTTCTTCCTCCCATGGACAGCCATTTTCATGGGCATATTTGAGACATTCCAAATGGCCTCTCCGAGCAGCAAGAGAGCATGTGCCTTTATCCCATGGACAGCCATGCTCATGAGCATACTGGAGTACATCTACATGGCCGTTGCTGGCGGCAACAAAGCATGTGTGTTCATCCCATGGAAAGCCATTTTTGTGGGCATATTTGAGTACATCTAGATGGCCATATCTGGCAGCTTCACAGCATGTATGAGAATTCCAACTACATCCATTTTCATGAGCATATTTCAGCACATCCAAGTGACCATTTTTTGCCGCTCCTTCACATGTTGCCGAGTCCCAATTGAATCCCTTTTGCCGGGCCCATTGAAGGACACAAATATTACCCATTTCAGCAGCTTTTGCACAGACAATTTTGCCCGGTTTACGTCCAGTGCCAATATTTTGGTGGGAGAACCAGTACTCTGCACGGGGTACAGAGCAGAGTATACCCTTGCGGTAAGTATCCAAAGGGGTTGCCCGGCGAATTGTATTAGCTGCAACAACATACACCATTGGAGGATTTTCCAAAGTATCACAGTATGTTGTGTATAGACTTTTCATGTTGTGGCTGACGGGTGCAACCATGACAAATTCCCCCATCCCAACGAAGGGAAGAACCCCCTTGGTCCAAATATCCTCATGCTTCAAAACGGAGTCTTCTGGGGCATTCCTGAGATGGTTGTATGCTTTCTGAACAATTTCTTTCACCTGTTTCTGTAGACCAAAGGCAGCCTCGAGCAGCTGTTTGGCTTCTGCCTTGCTGTTGCTCTTTTGGGACTCGAGGACTCGAGGACTCAAGGACGGACAAGACCACGAAAAGTGCCTCCGAGGCATCTTTAGTGGATACCAGGTACCTCGAAGTCATTACTACCTGTCTTTCTTTTGCTCGTATGTCCTGATCAGGTACATTGGTACAGCAGTCTAAACCCCTGTTGACTTTGTCTTCCTCCCTGTTTGGTGTTTCTATTATTGATACCTCTTGCACTTGGTTTTTCTTACATGAGAGCTCACGATGTATGTGGTTATTAGAGGTAAAAGGGGGAATGGCTGTGGGTTTTGCACATGGGGATGAGCAAACTTGCCCATGGCTCTGTGTTGAATTTGTTAGAGCGTTTTTGTAAAAATTGTGTGCGCTGAGCCAATCTTTTACTTTGGCTGTTTTTCTCTATTGGATTTGATTGGATTGCATTGGATTAGATTGGATTGCATTGAATTACAGTTTACTATATAAATAACAGTACTAATTGGAATCCAATTCAATCCAATTCAATGCAATGCAATCCAATCTAATCCAATTAAATTTATCTTCCGGCAAAAATACGAATTTCGTCTTTTTAACTGATTTTAGCGAGTCACATCTGTTGATCTGCCACCAGGACCCTTAAGTCTTCAGGTCCCAGGACAGATCACAATCACAATCAAGATGGCAGCAAGCCCACCTAGAAGGTCACCCTGCTTGCAGGACCCACAAACCGTTTGAAGCTGTTGAGAGTTGGCACTCCCCAGCTTGGCCTGTGTGCTCCAGGCTGGGGACAACTAGCTAGAACCTGCTCATAATTGTTAATAACTAATCTTTACTAACAATTCTCCCAGGCCTACCTAGCCTGGATCAACAGTTATTAATAATCTAACTGAATCGATACGACGAACTCATCCACGAGCAACAGCAACAGCCATCGCTACAGCTGCCGTCAAACACTAGCACAATGACATCCTTTGTTGCTATCGACCATTTCACCAAGGCTTCCCTCACGGCAATCCCTCCAGATGAGAAGCCAACGTACAACAGCCTAAAAGTTATCCACCAGGAACTCAATGCCAATGCTATGGCCATTCCCCCCACGCACGGAGGAGGCCACTATGGACACCTTGCCCTAGTCATCTCAACCCCAGCATTCAATGCTCTCCCCAACACAGTCCCATGGGACAATCCAGAGCATCCAGGAGCAGCACCAGTGCATGGAGCAGCACCAACTGGCGCTCAAATCTCAGAGACAAACATGTTATTTGCAGCCCAAGAAACCAAGTTCCTAGTCTTCAGGGGCACCGAAACAGCACTACAGAAACAGCTACTCGAGGCAGTCCCTGACACCTTCACCAAAACGCTCAAGCATGAAATGTATGGATATGCCCAGGTCACGGCACTCCAAATCCTCACCCACCTTGACAACACGTATGGCACAATCGATGCAGATGACATCAAGGACAATGAAAAGCGCATGAACGCAGACTTGAGTCCAACACAGCCCATTGAAGACCTCTACAATCAAGTCAAAGATGCACAAAAATTTGCAGTGGACCACGACGTCATTTCAGACAAACGAGCCATCAGCGCCATCATCGGCAACTTAACCAAAAGTGGAGTATTCACGGATGCTCTCAAAGATTGGCGAAAGACAACCACGGCCGAACAAACCATGGTAGCCCTCGAGACGCACTTCACTGCAGCCGACAAAGAACGCCGCCGAATTCTCACACCAAAGGCCGTCGGATATGCGAACAAAGCGACAGAGAAGAGTGGCAAGGCGACCGACAACAAGCCGACCCCCACAGGAAACGGCATCCCCATGTATTATTGTTGGTCACACGGACTTGGTCCCAACAACACCCACACAAGCAACAGCTGCTCCAAACCAGTCCAAGGACATTGCAAGGAGGCAACAGCCGACAACATGATGGGAGGTTGCTGCGTCATCAGACGCATGTTTGGGGAAAAGGCAATCTACCGCCGCCCCCAACGTGAATGCGCAAACCAAAACAATGACGAAAACCAACCACCAGCCAATCGCTGATCAGGAAGGGAGCCATTCAACAACGTATTTTAAAGAACAACAACAGACCCAAAGCTCAAGTAGCAGTTAACGAACATAGTAAAAAGACGGATAAGTTAAACGAAAAAGAAATACCGAACAATGGTCCCTCAACCAATTTAGAAACAGAAAAGGAAACAGTACCTGCCCCGATAGTAGCCGATACAGGCAGTACAGGACACTTCCTATCAACAGATTATATAGCTATAAACAACGAAAACATCATCGACATCCAGCCACACAACAACCCCATCGTTGTAACTCTTCCAGACAACACAGTCATCACCTCAACACACACTTGTCACCTCGACCTACCCAACCTCCCCCGCGAGGCAACTGCAATACACGGCTCTTAGCCTTATTCGCGACTCGATCCTAGATAGGGTTTGAGTTCAACTCATGACTGAGTCTCTCGTGAATAGTCATTTGAGACAGGGTTCTCAATGACCGCGCTAGTCATACTAGGTTCTTGATGATGAAACATCGCTCTAGATATTTAGCCAGCGTGGAGTACTTCCACGCTACTAGATTCAGGCTAGACAAACCTTCCACGCGTTCCGTTTTAGGATCGTGGAGAGACGTAGGATTACTACCACAACCTACTCTATCACACTTTATAGTCTCCCGCGGGAAGCCAGATCTACGATCCCTTGATGATGATCTCTCTCGTTGATTAGTTTTCATAGCTTTCTAATCTCTCTCATAACTTTCATTCTCTCAAACTCAAAACACTCGAAAGATCTTTACACTAGCTTTTAGCGTAGTGCATTTTGTTAACAAACACAATAGCTTTCAGCTACCCTCAACCTATTCCTTCACCATGAAGATGGCTCAAGGAAAGCATGCGTTCCGCAACTTCGAAAAACAGTTGCGTGACAAACCCATTCTTCCTCTCGTCGACAATGACGAAGAAAACGAGATCGACGATACTCGTGCAACCACTTGCAAACTTCGCAACCATGTTGCCAAGCGCAAATCAGAAGATTCTGACAATGAGGACAACTCCTCTATCAATTTCAATCACTTGGATGGAGAAATCTCTATCTGAGGATTAGGCCAGGATGATGACTCAACGGAACCATGTTCCGATTTCTCATACCAAAGTGATGAAGATAACTAGTAAACAAGAATTGTTTGCAACTGATGAACTCTACGGCAAATTAGATGATTGCCTAGGAGCTGCTCAACTAGACTCTGATGATCTATTTAGCATCGTCAACCTCGTCCGTGGCCAACCACCTCGTAAACGTCGCAAGACAAGAGACCTCAAACCCATCGTCTATGTTAGATTTAACAAGCGAGAAAAGGGGAAACCAAAACCCGTTACACTCCGTTGCTGTTTGCTTACTGGATACAGGAGCATCCGGAACCTGATTGCTCAACCTCATGCTAGAACTTACGCATGAAGGATCTCGGGGGCGTCCAAACGATGTGGACTACCCCTGCAGGAGAATTAAACACCAGCACGAAGTGCAAGGTGCATTTATGATTCCTGAATTCCACGAAGATAGAATTATCGAGTGGGATTACACGTCACCAAGAGCTTGGGGCGTATGACATGATCATAGTCGAGACATTCTCTCTGACTTAGGTTTCAAGTTCGATTCACTACCATGTCAGTGGAATGGGACGCGCATCTATTCCTATGAAAATAGCGACACCAATGAAGAAAAAAACTTTTTCATTCCTGATCCTACGCTGTTGATGACAGTCAGATCGTCTCAAGAAGATCTTGATGCGAAATACGAACAAGCTGACTATAAGGCAGGTTTGCCAAAGTCAAGATCAGTTAAACAAGGAAAGAAGGAACAGCTTCATTCTTACTGACGAAGTACTCTGACCTATTCGATGGTACTTTAGGAAAGTGGCAGATGGACGACTATGAAGTAGAACTTCGTCCGATGCTAAATCCTATTATACTAGGCTCACCCTACTCCACGGGTCCATACCAACACTCTTAAGAAGGAGGTTGAACGTCTCTGCGAGGCAGGAGTACTCAAGAAGGTGAATCGTTCCAAGTGGCGGCACCAACTTTATCATTCCCAAGAAAGATGGATCTGTACGATTCATCTCTGATTTCCGGGAACTGAACAAAAGGATTAAGCGGAAGCCTTATCCTATCCCAAAAATACAGGACATGCTCTTGAACCTAGACGGATTCAAGTACGCTACTAGTCTAGACCTGAACATGGGATACTATCACATCGAGCTGTCACCTCACTCGAAGCAACTCTGTACCATCGTACTCCCGTGGGGAAAGACGAGTACCAGAGGTTGCCAAGGGCCTATGTAATAGTCCCGACATCTTCCAAGAGAAGATGGGAACACTAATGCACGACCTAGAATACGTCCGTGCATACATTGATGATCTACTCATCCTAACTAACGGTGATCTAGCAGATCACGTTGAAAAGTTGGATGAAGTTCTCCGAAGGCTTCGAGAAGCCGGACTTAAGATCAATGCTACCAAGTCTTCTTCGCAAGAGGAGAACTTGAGTACCTAGGTTACTGGATTACTCGAGAAGGATCCAACCTATAACCAAGAAATAGACGCGATCAAGAATATCGCTCTCCTACCAACAGAAAGAACTCCGTAGATTCATTGGACTAGTAACTACTATCGAGACATGTGGATTAGACGATCACATGTACTGGCCCCACTCGCTTCTTGACTTCCAAAACAACAAAGTGAAATGGAAAGGAACACGACAAGGCCTTTAGCCAGATGAAGAAATCATCAGCAAAGAAACCTTGCTCGCTACCCTGATTCAACGATACATTCGTTACCACACGGAGCGTGATACTCAACTAGGTGCAGTAATTTCCCAGAAGGGAAAACCTATCGCGTTCTACAGCAGGAAGCTCAACCCTGCTCAGACACGTTACACAGTTACCGAGAAGGAACTTCTCAGTATCGTAGAAACTCTAAAGAGTTCCGTAACATTCTTCTAGGACAGAAGATCGTTGTACATACGGACCACAAGAATCTTACATGTAAGAACTTCAATACCGATCGCGTAATGCGATGGCGCCTTATTCTGGAAGAATACGGCCCTGAACTATGGTACATCAAGGCGAACAAAACATCTCGTGATGCGTTGTCAGACTTAACATCTCCAACACGACGGTTCTTCAGAACAGATGGACGCCAGCGAGATCGCTGAACTCATGGCTGCAGAAAAGAGGCTTCCCTAAGCGAGTTCCCTCTCTCGTTCCCCGAGATCGAACATCGTCAGAAAGACGGCAACGATATCAAGAAACTCTCAGGGACAAGCCAAACGACTAAAAGAAGCAATCTTTCCCCAGAGGTGATAAGTCCTACGACTTAGTAGTTAAGGACGAGAAAATCGTCGTACCAAAACTATGCAGAAAAGCTAGTTGATGGTACCATGGTGTGCTGATGCATCCTGGCGAGACTCGCAGAACTAACCATCAGCCAACACTACACCTGGAAGGGTCTGCGCAGACTGTGCAGGCCGTATGTCAGCGTTGCCAAAGCTGCCAGATGAACAAACCCAAGACGCGTAAGCTGGGATTGATCCTCCAAAGACTTGCGAGGAGATCCCTTGGGAAAGACTATGTATTGACCTGATAGGCCCTTAACAACGTCGGGGATCCCAAGAAAAAGAATTCCTGCCACTTCATTCTTGACAATGATGACCCGTAACCGATGGTTCGAGATTGCAGAGATCTGCTCCAAGGCAGCAGACGAAGTAGCCATCGTCTAGAACAAACGTGGCTTACTCGTATCCATGGCCTGCTGAGGTATCATGGATAGAGGACGCGAGTTCCGCGCAGAGGTCGAAAAGACACTCCGGATGAATATGGACTTCGTCGCAAGTTCATCACTACGCGAAACCCTCAAGCCAACTCTATGGTCGAGCGTGCTCATCAAACCATACGTACTAACTTGATCGCTGTTCAAACATCAAGTGCCAAGAGACCTCGGAATGGATCCTGGATGGAGTCTCACGGCGGTTCGCTTTGCGATGAATGCCACGATTCATACCACTTGCGCGCAACGCCCGCACAGCTCGTGTTCAATCGTGACGCGATTCACAACGTCCGGTTCGAAGCCAACTGGAAGTACATTAAGGAACGTCGCCAACGACTAATCAACAAAACAACGATAGGGAAAAACGCAACGCTATCCCTCATCAATACAATGTCAAAGAAACTGTGATGATTCAAACGTAACAGCACCGCAAGTACGGTCAGCCAAAGTACAAAGATCCTTACACTATAGACCGAGTCAATGACAATGGCACTGTACGGCTCCAACATGCTACCGCCAACGGCGGCAAGTCTACCAGACTTGGAACATAAGGTATTTACACCCATACAAGGCCTGATCCCTTGTAGGTTGCCATCGTGCGACGCACATGTCTACATCCAAATCTCATGAGAGTGCCCCGCACTTTAAATCATATGTTCTCCTGTCCGCTGCTGTCGCGCCTTCTGTGACCCTTGTCAGGGGCGAATGCAATACACGCTATTAGCCTTATTCGCACTCGATCATAATAGGTTTGAGTTCGACTCATGACTGGTCTCCCGTGAATAGTCATTTGAGACAGGTTCTCAATACCGCGCTAGTCATACTAGGTTGATGATGAAACATCGCTCTAGATATTTAGCCAGCGTGGAGTACTTCCACGACTAGATTCAGGCTAGACAAACCTTCCACGCTTCCGTTTTAGGATCGTGGAGAGACGTAGATACTACCACAACCTTTCTATCACACTTTACATCTCCCGCGGGAAGCCAGATCTACGATCCTTGATGATGATCTCTCTTGTTGATTAGTTTTTCATAGCTTTCTAATCTCTCTCATAACTTTCATTCTCTCAACTCAAAACACTCGAAAGATCTTTACACTAGCTTTTAGCGTAGTGCACAACCAATGCATATTTATTCCCAACACTGGGCGAGACTTCACTCCTATCCATCGGCAAACTTTGTGACGCCGGATGTGAAGCAACCTT